GTTCATTGCACCAAAATGGAACATCTGGGTCTGAAAGCAAAATCATCACTCATCCCCTGTGTCAAATAAGGGGCTGCTTTTCTTCAGCAGGGACAGGGTGGAGTGTCAGTGTTTTTGGGAAGGTAGATGGAATGAGAGGACTGGAGCCATGAATTATCCAATGAAGAGATGGGCGTTTATGAGTATTTGTTTGTTCTCCTGCCTACTCCTTTTGAGCTCCACTGTTTATTACACGTGAAATAACTTTCTCTTGTTGTTGTATCAAATTTCACTTGTATCTACTTTGTTGATTGCGAACAAAATGTGGAAAGGAGTGTAAATAGTTTTCATGTCACTGTATCTTTCTGGATGAACTTAAGACCTCAGAAAATGAACTCTAAGATAAAGTGAAAAGACAAAAATGTGTTGTTCTGATTCCAGGCCTCGCAACATGAAGCCACCAGGATCTGGACCTGAACCCAGACCTGAACCCAGACCTGAACCCAGACCTGAGCCTGCTCCCAGCTCTGTGTCTCTGAAAAGTGACTGGTCCAAAGACAACAATCCAAATTTAAGAGAAGATCGTTCTGAAGAGCAGAGGTGAGACTTAAACACCTTGTTTCTCATTTATATCAGAAGAAGACTATTCTTAAAACAAAGAGACATGGTGAATTCAGATTCAGATTCAGATTCATTTATTTGCCATTTGCAGTAAAACCACATAGGAAAAACTGTGCAAGACTACCCCGGTGTGCACCAGACAGAGAAGACGACACACCAGAGCTCTTGCCACGGCGCCATCTTTACGGCGCCATGCGACAAACAGTAGAATAAACAGCAGAGAGCAATAACACACAGTTTCACAGACAGTTGGATAGACACATTGTGCTTTGTATAAACCACGGATTTTTTTCTCGGGATGAGCACCTCCGACTGCCTGCCCAATGTGGCTGTCAGAGGGGGGCGGGGTCAGGGAGGGGGTGAGTCGGAAACACAATGAGGAGTGGAGGGGAGGGAGGGAGCAAAACTCCAGGAAAAAGACAAAAACAGGAGATAACAAGCAGTCAGAAGCAGGAGCGGTCTGAGACACGTCTTTGCTCGACGGAGGCGGAAGAGAATTCATGTATTTCTTTTAAGATTACTGTCATAGAATTTCCACCAATAAGTAACAAATGTCCAAGTTTTGATGTATGGTTCCACGGAGATCCAGAGAGTGTCACATCTATCTATAGTAATTAACCCTTTCCTCCAATGAGGGTGGTTGTCTACAGAGAGGGGTCTGGCCACACACTCATTCATCAACATTCACACCTCTAGACCCCTGGAGTTTGCATGTTCTCCCTGTGTCTGCATAGGTTTCCTTGGTCTCACAAAGTGGATCAGTCACCAATGGCATAATGACAATATTTTACTTCATTAGCTTAACTAAAGAAAGGGGGCAACAGTGGCTCAGTTGGTAGAGCATTGGTCTTTGGGTCGAATGGTCCTACTCCATCTACTCCCACTGACTCCTGCTGTTGTCGTGTCCCTGGGAAAGACTCTTTAGCCCATTTTGTCTGAAGCCCCAACTGAAATCCTGGCCTTAGCCATCCGAACACTCAGCTTAATCATCATTTCCCTGCATGTAGTGTCTGGGTTTGGTCCCTGTGTTTGCGATTGCAATCGGTTGAATTCCATTCGACCAATCAGAGAGCGCGGGAGGCGGGTGTTAGATGTGGGTGACGTCAAGAGTTTGCGCCGAACGGGCAAGTTGTAGTTTGGCAATGGCGAAGAATGCAACAGTAAAGTAATCCGGTCTGGTTCTATCAAAAAACTGAAGCAAGAGCAAGAGGAATGTTTAGCAAATGTATTTGCTGGCAAAGATTGTGGCGCTACTCCCCACGGGCTCCGCAAAGGAGACAGCTAGGCTAAATGCTAAATGCTACGTCATGGTAAACTCAGATCCAATAGTTTCAATCTGCAAAAGAAGTTATCCCCTCCCACCTGTTAACGGAGCTCAAAGGAGCACCTCCAGACCTTAGTACAAAAACTATAGAAGTGATTGAAATACTTAAATGTGTATGACATTTGAGTAACAGCAACATACTTATTAAGAATCCAAGTGTTGCTCCGTGGAGGAGGTACCACTGCTGTTGCTGGATATATATATATATATATATATATTGAAATGTGTTTGACAGGGATCAAGGTCCAAAGGAGCTGGACGCCTTGTTGAAAGTGAGTCTCCACAACCACAGCATGTCTGGCTGCTCCTCAGCATCTCTCTGTGACTCAAACTCTTATTGTTCTGTTGCAGCGGCTGAAGGAGAACGTCATGACTTCTGTCAAAGAGCAGCTGCAGAGACTCCTCAGGTTCCTGGCCTCAGATGACCTAGAATGAATGGATGAAGCAGGAGGAGCTGGTCCAGCGCCTGCAGAGCAGTAAGAACTCTCTGTGTCTGTAACAACACATTCAACATTTTTATAACTGAACAACAGACAGCATCTCTTTAGTCGGTGTCCTTCTCCTGAAGAATAATAGAGTTCACAGCTGTTTCTCTTTCTTCAGGCAGCACTGTTGGAGTTTGTAGAGACGAATTAAAGAAGCATCTGCAGCAGAAGTTCAGCCGTGTGTTTGAGGGCGTGGCTAAAGCAGGAGACTCCGCCCCCCTGACCCAGATCTACACAGAGCTCTACATGATAGAGGGCGGGGCTTCAGAGGTCAACCAGGAACATGAGGTCAGACTGATGGAGAGCGCGTCCAGGAGACCAGCCGCTCCAGAGACCACCATCACCTGTGAAGACATGTTTAAGCCCCGGCCACACTCACCACAGCCAATCAGAGCGCTGCTGACGAAGGGCGTGGCCGGCGTGGGGAAGACTGTGCTGACTCAGAAGTTTAGTCTGGACTGGGCTGAAGGCAGAGCTCATCAGGACCTCCAGCTGCTGTTCCCCTTCTCCTTCAGAGAGCTCAATGTTGTGAAGGACAGAAGCTTCAGCCTGGTGGGACTCATACAGCACTTCTTCAGTCCATCCAAAGGTCTCTGCAGCTTTGAAGACCTCCAGGTGCTCCTCATCTTTGACGGTCTGGACGAGTGCAGACTTCCTCTGGCCTTCAGCAGCTCTCGTGTCCTCTCAGACCCCACAGAGTCCGTCACTCTGGACCTGCTGCTGGTGAACCTCATCAGAGGAAGCCTACTTCCTTCTGCTCGCCTCTGGATCAGCACACGGCCCGCGGCGGCCAATCAGATCCCTGCAGAGTGCGTCTCCATGGTGACAGAGATCCGAGGCTTCACCAACCCGCAGAAGGAGCAGTACTTCAGGAAGAGGTTCAGAGACGAGCGACAGGCCACAGCGATCATCTCCCACATCAAGAGCGTCCGCAGCCTCCACATCATGTGCCACATCCCAGTCTTCTGCTGGATCCTCTCCACAGTTCTACAGAAGCTTCTGGAACAAACAGAGGAACCAGAGCTGCCCCGGATCCTCACACAGATGTACACACACTTCCTGGTGGTGCAAACCAAAGTCCAGAACATCAAGTATCAGCAGGGATCAGGGGCGGAGCTTCACTGGACTCCACAGACCAGGGAGATGGTGAAGTCTGACAGAAAGTAGCCCAGGGTCCAACCACGAGGCAATAAAATACATCAAAGAGAAGATGAATGAACATGGTCTGTCTACAGAGAGAAGCTTGAACCTTCTCTACTGTCTGATGGAGCTTAAAGATCACAGTCTGGTGCAGGAGATACAGAGGTACATGAGAGCAGGACAACTATCCGTCTTAAGTGCTCCTGCTCAGTGGTCAGCTGTGTCCTTTGTCTTACTGTCCTCAGACTCAGACCTCCAGGAGTTTGACCTGAGGAAATACTCGGCCTCCGAGACAGCTCTCCTGGGCCTGCTGCCGGTGATCAGAGCCTCCACCAAAGCTCTGTGAGTCCAGAATGTGTTGAATGTCTTCTGTGTAGGTTCTAGTCTCTTATGTGTCTCTGTCCTCAGGTTCAGTGGATGTGGATTGTCTCCTCACAGCTGTGGTCCTCTGGCCTCAGTCCTCAACTCCTCCAGTCTCACAAACCTGGATCTGAGTAACAACGACCTCCAGGACTCAGGAGTGGAGCTGCTGTGTTCTGGACTGAAGAACGCCCATAGATTACATACCCTCAGGTGACACACTCATTAATAAAGTTAGTTCACATTTTTGAAACAAATTGACAGTTGAGCAACGAGTCTCTCTGGGCGAAAATGTTGGCCCTGGTTAAGAGCACTGGCTGCTCTTCTCCAGGTTCCCCAGGGGCTAGAATTGCTGGCGCACCTGAACTAGGCACCTGCGAGTTAAGTTGTGAAGTACAGAGGCAAGCTTTGAGGGTCGGAAATGCTTCTTCAAAGGACTCGGAACAGGCTACTGGATTCTTCTGTTATTCCGCAGTCAGGGTGCAGAGGTGCAGTGGCAAACAGAGGTACCAAGCCTTCATATCTTGGCAGAAGATATTCTAAGCTGCTGTTTGAGAAGATGCATCAGATGAGATGTAAGGGTGGTCAGTTAAGATCTCATTGGGAACCTGGGTTTGAACACATACAGTAGGTATCTTCCCTAGTTTGGAAAATAGAGGTGTCAGTGTGCAGTAATATTTTTGCAGGTCAGAAACGTTACCAGGTATTTCCTACGCTTTCACTTTTTGAGCCTTGGATCTCTTAATTGGGCCTTGTTTGACAATTAATTGTTACTCTGTTTCTCTGAATGCGGAACACAGTATTTCCCATAAATACTTACAACAATACAGCCTAACGAATGGGACAAAAAGCTGCTTTAAGGCCTGGCTGCTGGCAATAAAAACCAATCTGTTCCATACCAGTTACCTGCTGCCACCATTGGACCTTCATGGCAAATAAACCATGGTGGGCTGGTTGATGTGCTTCATGCCTGCCGTTGATGCTCCATCACCCAGGTTCGGATCTAGCCTGGGAGGATGAGTGGGAACTGTTCCAGCAGGATCGGTTCAACAATCTCCTCCTTGGTATGTTTCTTCCGGTCAGATTCAACGATGAATCTGACCGGAAGAACATACCCCAAGAAACTTTCAGACGGTGAGAAGTTTCTGCCGGATTTCCACCGGGCAGAACAGTAGCGGATCTGAATTGCTGGAGGTACTTTGTGAGGAGTTCCTCCTTTATATCCAGATATGAATGAATGCCTTTCCAGATGGCAATAGCACAAGCTGACACATCCACTGGCCGGGCCTGAATATATAGTAATATCTAACTCTGTGTGTCTTTAGGCTGTCTGGATGTCTGATCTCAGAGAAGGGCGGGGTAGTTCTGGTCTCAGCTCTAAGCTCCACCCCCTCCCATCTGAGAGAGTTAGACCTAAGCTACAACCATCCAGGAGGTTCATCCGAGCTGCTGAAGGCTCTACAGGACGATCCTTACTGCCCCCTGCAGGCCCTCAGGTCTGACCCTGCTCCTGCTTTGGTCTTTGAAGGTCCTGGTCTAAACTGTACTTGTGTATTACAGGTTGGATCCTGCTGGAGAGCAGTGGATGGTTCCAGGTTTGAGGAAGTGTGAGTTTCCCATTCCTTTTGGGGCATTGCTGTGATCGAACATTACATTCTAAACCTTTTTCTGTGTTTCTCAGATTCTTGTGAGTTTTCCCTGGATCCAAACACAGCTCACAGAAACCTCACACTGTCTGAGGACAAACGGACAGTGACCAAAGGGACAGAGGAGCAACAGTATCCAGATCACGAGGACAGATTTACAGAAATGAGACAGGTCCTGAGCAGCACTGGCCTGAGGGGGCGCTGTTACTGGGAGGTGAACTGGAGTGGGTGGGCCATTGATATAGGATTAAGTCACAGAGGGATCAGACGCAAAGGAGATCGAGAGGAATGTGGTTTTGGAGACGTTGATCAGTCCTGGAGTCTGAGGGATTATGAGGGACGCTATTTTGGTTGTAACAATACTGGACTTACTCGACTCTCCCTGACTCGCAAATCAGATGAAATGGGTGTGGGTTCCGGTCATGTGTCTGTGTTCCTCGACTCTGAGGCGGGATCTCTGTCCTTCTATGAGGTTCTCTCGGACGGAAAGCTTCACACTTTCAGGTCCTCCTTCACCGAGCCTCTCTTTCCAGGCTTTGGGCTCTGGAAAGAAGGCGACTCTGCATCTATTATTCCAGTGCACTGTGGGAAACTTCAATCACTGTAACATAAACATTTGTTAGCGATAGGAACCTAGCATGACAAGCAGAAATATCAACCTACTGCAAAAGTGCAGATGGACGGTGTTGGAGATGGGATACAAAAAAGACTCATAAATAGTGTATTATTGGAGATTGCATGGATGCAGCATTTACATGAGATTATACGGGGTTTATGTTGGGTCTAATACAGTGAATATGAGTTTAAAATTTTAAAAAAATATAAGAAAGAAAAATGATAATCCAGTGTTTGTACTATAGTACTAGGTCACCTTTGCCTTCAGACCCTTTCCTCGCTCACTACTGTCACCTTTGTGTGCATGTGTGTGTGTGTGTGTAGGGTGTGTGTGTGGCCTGGAAAAGTTCGAGCTTCTTCCCTTCGGCTGTAGATGTTGTTTGCTGAGATTCAGGACTTATCTGTGTAATGAAAATAGTAATTAAACAAATAATGATCTTGCACTTGTTTTTGTTGATTTAATAGCCGTGACAATGTACTTTTTATAGCTGTTTCTTGTAAACACTTGTCTGCTGCACACTGGGGACCATGCAAATGTATTCCAGTGTGGCTTATCTGCAAATGACAAATCAACTGAAACTGTGTGTGTGCCTGTGTGTGTTTGTGTGTGTTTATTTGTATGTGTGTGTGTGTGTGTGTGTGTGTGTGTGGCTCAGTCTCTGGACACAGATCCTCTTGTTTGCTTCAGTTGCGTCACTGTGGCTAAAAATACTTCCCCCGCCCCCTCTCCCTCTGTGGAGCTATAAACATGACTGAACAAACCAGGTCTGAACCAGGTCTGGACCAGGTCTGAAGCAGGTCTGAAGCAGGACTTGAGGAAGTTTGACAGTCGGACTCCTCGCACTGAGAGCATGCGCAGTTCTGCACACTCCTCTCTGTGTTGGAGGTTTGTTTTTGTCCTCGGGCGCGGATGACCTCAGCGCGCTCTGACGCCACACCGTGACGTCAGCGGGCCGCGCATGTACCGACGGTGACGCGCACAGGAGCAAGCAGAGATCCACACACACTTCCTCGGCGCCACACGCACAGACGCACAGACGCAGACCCCCAGGACCCTGGACCAGTCCTCCCGCAGCAGAGGCACACGCACCCGGACGCACGAGCGCTCGCACCGGAGCTGGATTACCGGAGACGCGCGAGGGACATGGCGGTGACCGGGGACGAGACGGAGTCAGGTGAGACGCGCTTCTCGCTTCACTTTTGGAGAGTTTATTAGTTTAGCACAATCCACAAAGACAAGAAGCGCTTCACAAACAACAACAGGGCATGTTTTGTTTTCATCAGAGGCGCAAAAGTACTCGAGTAAAAGTTTTGAAACCAATTACTTAAGTAACAGTAACGTCCAGTATTTACGGTATAGATACAGTATACCGTTTGGCTGTAGTTTGTTTCCATTTGGGACATTACACGCGTCTTACTGAACGGTCTGAGTTTAGAAGCGCGGCTAACCAGTGTTTACGTCGTGACTTTCTTATTGAAGGACACAATTTAATACCGTAGATCAGTGTCTCCCAAAGTGGGGTCCGCGGCCCCCTGGTGGGCCGCGAGGGTACTGCAGGGGGGCCGCGGGAGGTCATAAAAAAAATAAAAAAAATAATATAATTATTTAATGTTAAATTTATAATGTTTTGTTTGTAATATTAAAATATTTGTGTTCATTATTTGACTTGAATAATCCACTGTAATCATTTTTGTATTACAATGTTTGTAGCAGAGGCTATTTCTCCAAAATAAAATAACCAGAAGAGCCTATTCTTAATGTTGTCTTCTTGGTTATTATTTTGGGGGGCCACACAGACCCGACAGATTTTTAAGGGGGCCTCGGTGTTACTGAGTTTGGGAATGGCTGCCGTAGATAAAAAATAAATAAAAATAAACAATACATAAGCATAGACAAAGACAAAACGTGTACATAAAAGAGGGTTAGCTGCTGTACGTTCTAAAGGCTGGACCTTCAGTGATTCCATCATTTGGAGGGAAACAGAAAAATGTCACAATTGACCAGAGTTTGAACAATTGCATTATAAGAGTTTCGTAGTCCACATGAATCTTAAATATAAATCTAATCAAAAATGTGGGAAGAAAAAGTGCAGATATTTCAGTTCAAATGAAACATATTAATTCTTCCTACTTTTTAACCATGTCACTATATCGGTCCTCATGGGTCACAGACCTGCAGTTGTTTTAGATCTATTCACGATTGTATAATAAACTTCTAGCACAAACGTGTAGCTCCGCCCATTCAGTCCAGAAGCTCCTGCCTCAGTCCTGTAATAGTATGATGTCACTGTACCACTATGACATCACTATGACATCCCCATGACACCACCATGACACCACCATGACATCACCATGACATCCCCATGACACCACCATGACACCACCATGACATCGCTATGACATCACTATGACACCACCATGATACCACGATGATGTCATTTTTTATTGGTCATTTCTCAGGTGAAACACAGTTCAATACAATCACATGTGTTTGCAGCTGGTCATTTTTAATTTGGCCTTTCTGTGTAGGGTTTGTATGTTCTCCCGGTGTCTGCTCCTGTTTCCTCCAGGTGCTCCGGTTTCCTCTACCACTACAAACATGTACAATAGCTCTGGCTTGTGTCTCCTGTTTGGCGACCTCGGTCCCATCTCTGAGTGGAGCGAGAGACAAATGGCCACAACAATTGTAAAGAGCTGGTCTGTGAAAAGCGGTCCATTAAAAAAACAGATTAGCACAGGAAGTTACAAGCAGAACACATTTTTATCTTTGAAACTTCTTCCACCATCTATTTTCTACTAAAGATATAATTTTACCTTCTAAAACAAGGCTGTCAAACTCATTTTGGTCAGGGGCCAAAGTTAAAAACATAAGAGCCAAAAGAATAAAAGTAATGTCCTTTTCATTGTTATGGGGTAGGTTTGGATTCAACCAAAATTGTGCCACATATCAAGAAGCGACGTATTTGAGGACTGATAATTATAGAAAATAAACTTTTAGCCTAACCTGAAATTATAGAACACATTAAATGATACGCTTGTTTTCTTGGGAACATAAGCTTTGAAATGACGAATAACATGCCATATCATCCAATGCTGCAAGTTTCTGTGATAATAGTCATTGAAAATCATCTCACGGCCCCTAAAAATGAATTTGTGGCATGCCTGTTCTAAAACATGAAACATGACCGAGTTAATAACCTATTTTACATTTTTATTGGACAAAAATTCACAATATTTCTCAGTAAAATGTTTCGGGAACATATTTTAGATAAAGTTATTTCTGGTCGTGAACATAGCATTCAAAACGTACTTCATTGTTTTTCAATAATTTGACCAAGAAAAAACTGTTTAAGTGAAAGAATGTTTAATAGTTGAACAAAGAACTCATATAAACTTCATTCCCAGTGGATAAAGTATAGTATTACTGCTGGGAGAATGGCTGGTGAAGTGAGTTTGAAAGCAGGGCGTTCAGACAGAAGGCGCGTGGGTTCTCGGTGTGACGTGCTGGGAGCTTGACTCACATCAGCTGTAGCCGGGCAGGAGCAGGGGGCGGGGACAGGGGGGGGGGGGGCATTGACGTCAGCAAAGGTTCCTGGAACAGCCGTGTGGAGGAGGAGGGGGAGGAGGAGAAGGGGAGGGAGGGAGTCACACTCACGCACACACTGACGTCAGAGAGGAGGGAGTGTGTGTGTGTCTGTGTGTGTGTGTGTGTGTGTGTGTGTGTGTGTGTGTGTGTGTGTGTGTGTGTGTGTGTGTGTGTGTGTGTGTGTGTGTGTGTGTGTGTGTGTGTGTGTGTGTTCTCTATACAAAAAAGGCATTGAAATCACATTACTAAAAGAGGACTAAAGCAGGTCTAAAACAGGTCTAAAGCAAGACAAAAGCCGGACTAAAACGGGGACTTAACCAGGTCTTAAGCAGGTCTAAAACAGGTCTAAAGCAAGACAAAAGCCGGACTAAAACGGGGACTTAACCAGGTCTTAAGCAGGTCTAAAACTTGTCCAAACCAAGTCTAAAGAAGGACTTAAACAGGGACTACAAAGGTCTAAAGCAGGTCTAAAGCGATAATAAAGCAGTTAAAAAGCAGGTCTAAACCAGGTCTAAACCAGGTCTAAAACAGGTCTAAAGCAAGACTAAAGCCGGACTAAAACGGGGACTTAACCAGGTCTTCAGCAAGTCTAAAGCTGGTCCAAACCAAGTCTAAAGAAGGACTTAAACAGGGACTACAAAGGTCTAAAACAGGTCTAAAGCGATAATAAAGCAGTTAAAAAGCAGGTCTAAACCAGGTCTAAAGCAGGACTAAAGCAGGTTTAAAGCAGGTTAGGACTAAACCAGGTCTAAACCAGGTCCAAACCAGGTCTTAATGACTGATCCTCAGGTTGCAGTAAACATCTCTTTTCTAAATTACACGTCGACATAATGACAGTTAAACTTGTTTATGGTCAGTAGCGGCAGAATGACATCATCACATGACATCATCACATGACATCATCACATGACAACATCACATGACAACATCATCTGTCCACACGTCTCTGCTGTGGACAGATCCGTGAAGCGCAGCAGGTCTGGTGCTGGTCAATGCTGGGATGGGAGACCGCTTTGTTCAAAAACGCTTCTGCACTTCTGAGATTGCAGTATTTATTATTTACAGATGAAGAGAGAGACCAGAGAGAGACCAGAGAGACAGACCAGAGAGAGACCAGAGAGAGACCAGAGAGAGACCAGAGAGGGACCAGCACCAAAACCCTGAGTTTGAAAAGTTAAAGCTCTCTCTGAGCCTTTATACACGATTATTACTTTCACATTCTAAGACAAAAAGTCCTGAAATATTTAAGGGAGAGACCAGAGAGAGACAAGAGAGAGACCAGAGAGATCATAGAGAGAACAAAAAGACCAGAAAGAGACCAGGGAGAGACCAGAGAGAGACCAGGGAGAGACCAGAGAGAGACCAGAGAGAGGCCAGAGAGAGGTGTGAGTGAATAAAAGGGACTTTTTAAGTGTGTAAGGGACATTTGCCTCCATAAGCCGCAGATCATATCGGCTCATTATGATGTCATCCTGCCGTTGACCTGATGATGTCACCCCATTGTTTACGCGCTGATGTCACTGAGAGCTGATTCCGCGTCTGAAACACGAGCCGCTTTTGTCCAGAGGAAAACTGTCACTGTGGGAGAGACATCAAGGCCAAATCCAAAGGTCAAAACAGCGGTTGTCTCAGAGTACTTTACAGAGTTATTGATTCCTCAACAACAGATCAGAGAATCAAACAGCTCGAACACAGGAAATGCAACAATAACAAACATAGACGCCCTTGGTCCATAGCAAAACTACAAACAGGCTGTAGATCCAGGACTCAGGCTGGACCTTCCCACTTTCAAGATTAGTCTAAGGCCCAATTATCCAGGATCAGAGACAAGAGAGACCAGAGAGAGACCAGAGAGAGACCAGAGAGACCAGAGAGACCAGAGAGACCAAAGAGAGACCAGAGAGAGACCAGAGAGAGACCAGAGAGAGACCAGAGAGAGAGACCATGAGAGACCAGAGAGAGAGACCATGAGAGACCAGAGAGAGACCATGAGAGACCAGAGAGAGACCAGAGTGAACAAAGAGAGACCAGAGAGAGACGAGGGACATCAGAGAGAGACCAGAGACATACCAAAGAGAGACCTGAAAGAGACCAGAGAGAGAGAGAGAGAGAATCTACAATGGACTATATAATGGACTATGGCAAATGTCTCACCTACTGTGAGCAATATAGGTGTCGATATTACCAACACAAGTCTTTGTTAAGACATTTTGGCTCTGATGAAAACGCCGGCCTCTTAGTTTGTGTTTTTGTTCTAACTCTTTATTCTCTCTTGACCAGCGGCAACAGGAGACATCCCAGCGTACCCACTCAGGACGCCCAATCACAGCCTGGCGCAGAGTCTGGTCATGGCCGCCTCGCCGAGCTCCCACAATGCACCGGGGCACCACAACGAAGAGGTGACGAGGAAGAGGCAGGTGCGGCTGATGAAGAACAGGTGAGGCTTCAGTTCAATGTGTTTATTTATAGCTCTAAATCACAACAGTAGTTATCTCGGAGGACTTTACACAGTTGTCAATTCGTGAACACAGATCAGAGAATCAAACCGTTCAAACACAGGAAATGCGATGAGAAAAACACATAGAGCCATTGGTCCCAGGGGCAGACACCAATGTCCAGGGCAAAGTGCATTGGGTCTGATTCACAGGTTGCCCCCGGTCCCTTCCCTGCTGTACCCACAAACCAGTCTGATTCTTATTTAAATGAGTCAATGCTCATTAAAGGCTTGTAACTTCATATTTGGTTCTATGGCATTTGATATATACTGTATATTCTCATTAATGTTGATACAAGTAACTGAATATGTGTGTGTGTGTGTGTGCGTGTGTGTGTGTGTGTGTTTGTGTGTGTGTGTATATGGAGTAGTGCAAAAATAAGAAAACAAGTCTGGCCACAATAGTGCAATATCCCAATGTGGCCCCCAGAGGAAAATAATTGCCCAACCCCGCCTTAGACCCCCTTGCACCGGAAAGGAACAGCCTAAAACAAAGTAAAAAAGTGAGAAACCTCGGGCAGGAATGCTTGAACATAAACATAAACATGCTTAATGGAATATGAGAGGGTCAGGGGTATGCAAAAAATGATAATGTCTTTTGTCTGCAGAGAAGCGGCGCGCGAATGTCGGCGTAAGAAGAAGGAGTACGTGAAGTGTCTGGAGAACCGGGTGGCGGTGTTAGAAAACCAAAACAAGACTTTGATCGAGGAGCTTAAGGCGCTCAAGGACATTTACTGCCACAAAAACGAGTGAAGTCATCCCACCCACGCCATCCAGACCCAACCCGGGCCAACCCGACCCAACCCAGGCCATCCAGACCCAACCCAGGCCATCCAAGCGCCCTCCTCACACCCCACAGACTGTAACAGGAGTGGACAGTGGTGGCTCCATTCACTGACGGAAAACTCCTCTCGCTCGGAAACCGCTTGTGTCACACTCACCATTTTGGGCAAAGAAAAATCTATGGTTCGCTGCTGCTTTCCATCCTGGGGTTTATAGTTTCCATACGAGATAAACGTTCATGTTGTCAGTATTTCAGCAGGTGCCAACACAACTCAGAAATGTCCGTTTGTATTTTCCAGATCATTATGTGACAGTGTGTAGATTCACGAAGCCTCCATGTTGTTCTTATGTCTGAAGGTCCGCTCTACAGGTCATCATCAGCATATGTTTTTGAATATTGTCACCACTTCTAAAGACCTTCGTGAGAAAATAATGAGAGTTGATATGTGCTGAGACCAGAGAGAGACCAGAGAGAGACCAGAGAGAGACCAGAGAGAGACCAGAGAGAGACCAGAGAGAGACCAGAGAGAGACCAGGGAGAGACCAGGGAGAGACCAGAGAGAGACCAGAGAGAGACCAGAGAGAGACCAGAGAGAGACCAGAGAGAGACCAGAGAGAGACCAGGGAGAGACCAGGGAGAAACCAGAGAGAGACCAGAGAGAGACCAGGGAGAGACCAGAGAGAGACCAGAGAGAGACCAGAGAGAGACCAGGGAGAGACCAGGGAGAGACCAGAGAGAGACCAGAGAGAGACCAGCGAGAAACCAGAGAGACTATAGTTGATGTGGACCTTTGTGACAGTTTTTGCCTCATGCGGCTTGTTCCAGGAATGATCTCCAAACTCAGACTAGAATCTGACTTTTGACACTTACCACAGTGCCGTCCACCACAATGAGAAACTATCGCACCTTCGGGACGTGCTGATGTCGCATGAACGCAAACTATGTTCTGCCTCAGCGGCGAGTAGCTACTGATTGGCTCTTTGGTTGCTATGTGGTTGCTATCCGCCCATTTTTCTCCGTTTTCCTTCCACGGTCTATAGTCAGCGTACAGTCAGGTCATTTCTAGTCAGAGGCAATTTCCTTTACTCATTGCAAGACTCCATGTGTTCAGGCCTCTTTGTTAGATTGAGATCATTAGATTATAATCACATCCTACAAACGGGAATCCACACAGACTCGAATGACGTCATCAAACTATCTAATCGTTCTGATCTTATGCTACATTCAAGGCAACTAGAATTATATTTACCACCTCTCTTTCTGGTCTCCCTCTAGTCATTACTTTGGTCTCTTTCTGTGGTCTCGCTCTTTCTGGTCTCTCTCTAGGGACATTTCTTTGGTTTCTTTCTCTGGTGTTTCTCTCTGGTCTATCTCTCAGCTTTATCTGACAGAAAAGTGAGAAAGAGAGGTCCACCCTCACTCAGCCAATCAGCTCTCAGCCCAAAGACTCCAGCAGTGACTCCTAGGGCTCTTTCTTACACAAAGTGGAACTAAAAAGCATGTTGTGGTCTGATTGGTTCACACTTTTTTTTTACTTTTACAAGGCTCTTTCTGTTGTTATTTGTTATTTATGAAGCGTAAGTTGCATCCCCCAGCTTTAAAAGAGTAGAATTTCACACCACAACATGGAGCTGGCGTGTGACCGGCAGTTACTGTGGTTACGACTCTTCACGCCCTTTAATGGCTGTTTGGTCACAGGAAGTGGAAGAGCGCCAGTTCCTCCTTCCTCCACACGTTTCCTCTGAACGCCAGTCAAAAGGGAAAAGTTACACAGAAAAAACGGGTCACTGACTTTTGTCTCAAGTAACTAAGTAGTTTTACTCAAGTACTGTACCTATCTCCTGTTCAGTACTTTACTACATGTTTCTACTTTTACTTTTATCCAAAAAGTCTGTCATTTCTATATGTTTTCAAATCACAACAAGAGGAGAAAGTGGGTCTAAATTAGGACATGGTGGTTAGCCGTGCTTCTAAGTTAACTTATTCATTGTGGTGAGCTGTGCTTCTAGTTCATGTTAACTGTGGTTAGCCAAGCTTCTAAGTTCATATTGATTGTTATTAGCCATGCTTCTGAGTTATTTTTATTTTTTATTGTGGTTAGCATGCTTCTAAGTTATGTATAAAACAGCAAATCACTTCCATACTTTCACTCAAGTACCGACAGCGAGGACTTTTGCCTCCTCTGAGAATTATCCACCAAAGAGCAGCTTAATCAAACAGCACATTCACACGTTATATTGGGATTTGAACATATTAAGTGTTTGAGGCCAAAAAAAATAAAAAATCAATTCTGCTTGAAAAAAGTGAGAGAAACATCTAATTAAACAGATTTGGATCATTTGGTCAAAAAAAAATCAAATGAGAGAGGATCAGGATGAGCTCTATGTTATAATAGCAGACTGTATACAGATGCTAACAATGCTAACCTGCTAGCTCAAGCCCATTCCTATTGACTTACATAGAAAAGTAAACTCCTCCAGTTCAGTTTTGTCACACTCACCATTTTGGGCTTTTTAAAAAATCTATGTTTTAGTGCTCTTTATGATCCTGGTGTTGATATTGTGATGTTGTCTTCGCAAATTCAGATATGAGCAATTACATCGGACCAATCAGGGGCCCTCTGTCCCCAAATACAGCTTTAGCAGCAAGTAGCACGATTGTCTTTTGGTAACTCGGTAACATGGTTAATGTGCAGACTTTTGGCTCTACAGTTCCACTCAAATAGCCTTTTTGAGTTAGCTCTAATCCTCATGGAGCCTGTTTGAGTAAGCTCTTATGGGCCCCTTCCGCATTAAGGCTAAAACTATAGTGACGTTAGCATTTGGTGAGTCCACTCCTAATACACAGTCTATTCATTTGGAAAGAATGTAACTTATAAAACAGCTCTGTCCATGATATATTCACAACAGGTTTGAGAACAGAGTTTTTGGACAGAAGGGGCGGGGGTCATTTTCCTGATCTTGATCTAAACACAACTGCAGGGCTGTTTGTGACCCTTTAATATGAATGTTTGTACTGCGATCCACTGCACAGCGTCCGTAACCATAGAAACTCCATATATTTTACTACTGACTGCGTTTCAACGGGAATCGTGGGAATAAAGATATTTTCTCACATTTGTACATTTGTGGCGGAAGTAAAACACTGAAATGTAACTTTCTGTAGACGCTTTTTGTGATTTCTAACTTTCTGCTTTAGTGTTTTGTAAAAGTCTTTCTTCTCTTTGGTTGTACGCAAAATAAATTTGTGAATGAAACTTTGTATTTTCATATTGCTTTTGGCACAACAGGTGTAATGTGAGGTTCTTAACGCAGGTGTAATGTGAGGTCCTTAACACAGGTGTAATGTGAGGTCCTTAACACAGGTGTAATGTGAGGTTCTTAACACAGGTGTAATGTGAGGTCCTTAACACAGGTGTAATGTGAGGTCCTTAACACAGGTGTAATGTGAGGTCTTTAACACAGGTGTAATGTGAGGAGGTCCTTTACACAGGTGTAATGTGAGGTCTTTAACACAGGTGTAATGTGAGGTCCTAAACACAGGTGTAATGTGATGTCCTTAACACAGGTGTAATGTGAGGTCCTTAACACAGGTGTAATGTGAGGTCTTTAACACAGGTGTAATGTGAGGTCCTTAACACAGGTTTAATATGAGATCTTTAACACAGGTGTAATGTGAGGTCCTTTACACAGGTGTAATGTGAGGCCCTTAACACAGGTGTAATGTGAGGTCTTTAACACATGTGTAATGTGAGGTATTTAACACAGGTGTAATGTGAGGTCCTTTACACAAGTGTAATGTGAGGTCCTTTACACAGGTGTAATGTGAGGTTCTTAACACATGTGTAATGTGAGGTCCTTAACACAAGTATAATGTGAGGTCCTTTACACAGGTGTAATGTGAGGTCCTTTACAAAGGTGTAATGTGAAGTCTTTAACACAGGTGTAATGTGAGGTCCTTTACACAGGTGTAATGTGAGGTCCTTAACACAGGTGTAATGTGAGGTCCTTAACACAGGTGTAATGTGAGGTCCTTTACACAGATGTAATGTGAGGTCTTTAACACAGGTGTAATGTGAGGTCCTTTACACAGGTGTGATGTGAGGTCTTTAACACAGGTGTAATGTCAGGTCTCTAACACAGGTGTGTTGTGAATGAGTAGTGAGTCTACCTCCTTCTGGGGTTATGTTTTCACCAGAGTTTGTTGGTTACTTAGCAACATAATGCAAAACATTGTGGGAGGATTTGAACACATTCAGAAAATCTCAAGAGGGAGATCTAATTTCTCTGATCATCGCCTGAACCAAGGAGGAGATAATAGAATGTATACGATTGCACAATGCTAACCCGCTAACTCAATGACGCCCAATAGGGAAGTGTTCATGGACAAAGTTTTGCTTGCTCTGGTTATTTTGAAAGGATCTACAGCCTCAGTCCTGGGTCTTCAGCCTCAGTCCTGGGTCTACAGCCTCAGTCCTGGATCTACAGCCTCAGTCCTGGGTCTACAGCCTCAGTCCTGGATCTACTGTGGTCGTCGTGCTCCATATGGACCAATGGCTCCTTTGTGTTTGTTATTATTGCATTTCCTGTATTCTCAGTGTTTGATTCTCTGATCTGTTGTTGCCGAACTGACAACTTTATAAAGTCCTCAGAGACGACTGCTGTTGTGATTTAGGGCGATACACAAATAAATGGAATTGAATGTGACACATCATTTTTGAAAATACGAATCACTTTATTTGTAGAGAAATATTTTGTTCAGATTCTTTTTACTCTTACGGAATCCATATATTGTCTGAACTCATTCCAGCTTTACTCCACAATATTGAAAAGAAAATTGCACTTTTTACAGTTGGAGTCAACACACGCCAGGAAACAAAGTAAGTTCAGACTATTATTCATTCATTCATCACAGCATAAAATAAAAGGGTAGGTCTGCGCAAGAGGAATTTACTTAACTTAATACATACTTAATGACGTATGTGTGTGTGTGTGTGTGTGTGTGTGTGGGTGTGTGTGTGTGTGTGTGTGTGTGTGTGTGTGGAGCGCGCTCTGGTGGGCACTCCCTTGCATTACAAGCACAAAGAGGTGGTTGTAGTAGCATTTATGATCCAGCAGGGGTCAGCAGTGTCGTGTGCAGTAGTTTTTGATCCATCACATGACCGAATATTATTTTCCTACCTTTTCATTTATTTTAAAACTGATTAAATTGATACTTATTTATATTATGGATTTGAACGGACCCCAGACAGAACACGCACACGCACGGGGATACCTTCCACGAGACCTGTTGTCACCACACACACACACACACCGAACACCAGCGGCCACGCGCATCAATAATAAAGAGAATCCGCGTGACCGTGCGCGTGCATGTGAACCGGAAGCGCTGGACAGGACGCGCGCTCCTCCATCCATCCATCCTCCGCTAAAGATGCTGCGCGCCTGACTCTTCCTGGTCTCTCTCCCTCTGATCCCGGTGGTCTCCTCTGGTCTCCCCTGGTCCCCTCTGGTCTCGGTTGATCCCTGGGTGTGTGTGACGGGCCTGCAGGCGCTCATGTCCGGGTGTGAGCTCTGACAAAGCCGCGGGAGGAGCGCGGAGGATCAGGACATGGCTCTGCAGACGCACGTATGTACGCAGGCCCCTGATGGTCCGTGCTTCACAGACACGGCCCTGACAGCAGCGGGCGTGAGGCTGCGTGAGGCTGCGTGAGGCTCTGTCGGCTCAATACGATCTCTGTGTGTGTGTTTTTTTTATTTTTTTATTTTTATCTCCGATACGTATTCACCACAGCGGAATGTAAACACGGACGCATTAGAACAGATGCGTTCATTTAGCACTTATGGAGGAATGACAACAACAGACCTGCAGTTGTGTTTAGCTGCATCCACGCGATTAAGCGCTTGTGACGCAAACGTTCATCAGACCACAACATGCTACGTCCACCCCATGTAAAATGCTGTGTACATGCTAACGTGTTATCTTTTGTGTAAGACAGATCCCTGTAAGTCACTATTTGATTCTTTGGGCTGAGAGCTAATTGGTTGAGTGAGGGTGGTAGCTTCTTTTGTCTGAAAAAGCTGATCCAAAGAGGTGGCAGAGAGAGCAGAAAGAGACTAGAAAGAGATCAGAGTGACAGATCAGTAAGATATACCAGAGAGACAGACCAGAGAGACAGACCAGAGAGACAGACCAGAGAGACAGACCAGAGAGACAGACCAGAGAGACAGACCAGAGACAGACCAGAGAGACAGACCAGAGAGACAGACCAGACAGAGACCAGAGAGAGAGAGAACAAAGACACGGCCAAAATTTAGAAAACTACTGATAGAAGTAAACTGTTTTAAAACCAGGAACTAGTGACATGCATTTAAATACAAAGTCCCATTGTTGTGGTCTGAAAGTTACTTACCCCAGCTTTAAAGGTGCCAGGTTTCACATTTCTTCATGTTTCACAGTCCATCCTATGCACATGTGTGATTATAATTTGGGTGATACACCATATCTTGTAAAATTATAGCCATTTTGTGCATAGAGGTGAGAGTGATATATTAAGAGGTTTTTGATTTTTAAGTTCTCTGATCTTATTTGAGGGAATTCCCACTGTTTTAAAGTAGATTTTCCGTCTTGTGTGGGCGTTAGCTTCACTAAGACTATTTCCGTCTCTGTTTCAGTGGAGCTCGTAGCCGCTAGAGGAGCACAGGAGGATCATGGGTACCGCGCTGTCCTGCTGCGTCGCGTCCAGTCCCAAGCTCCGGCGGAAGGACCACTCCAGACTCGAGTCGTGTCCGGAGTCCGACCTGAGCCGAGAGGACACGGTCTGCAGCCACCTCCAGCATATCAGCGACCGCGAGAACACTGGAGGTGAGACACAGACACAACTTTTAGGTTTTTTTACCGTTTTATTTTGTTCTTTCCCCCCCTGTCTCTTCTGTAGAGTTATACTTCCTGTTGTATGATACCTGCCCTCATGTGTTTCCCCTGTGTCTCATTTTTGCTTTGTTTATTTGAATGGAACAGTGCACATTAACCAAAATAGGTTCATATAAAAATGCCAAATTTAGCCACGAAGGCGAGTTTCCATCTGTAGTCCCAGGGCAGGGTGATGTTACAGCCATCAACAAACAGAGAAACAGTGTTAAAGGAGCAAAATTGTAAACCCTCCATCCATCCCCTTCCCCTTAATCCATTTCTGGGTCGGGGGTTGGCAGTCAGAGATGCCACCCAGTACACAGAGCACCAGCCCCTCACTGATCCTCCTGCAAGTGATGAGCCCACAAGAGCTGAGACCTTTCAGGGGGGGGGCTTCAGGCAAAGTGGGGTTAAGTGTCTTGACCAAGGACACAACGACAGCAGTTATCAGTGGGAGTCGTGAAGTAGGTCTTATGGTGGGCTTGAACCCAAGACCTTCAGGCCCAAAGGCCAATGCTCTACCAACTGAGCTACTGTCGCCCCCCACCAAAAATGTTTTTTAAAATCTGGCCAAAAGTGGTACTGCAGCCTCTCCCACTCTCCCTGACTCAGGTTGCACGATATGCAGACGAATCCAACTCGGACCATAATATATAAATAGACAAGAGTTTAGTCAACAACAAATCTATAACCAACACCTTTTTCACAAAGATAGAAATCCTGGTTTTATTCCTTGTTTTGTCGTTAATGATTTGAGATTAGCTCCACACGGTGAGCTCTCGTGCCCGGATCACAGACTTTCTGATTGGTGAAACGGTGGAGGGCAGGACATTGACATGAAAACAATAACAAGAATTAGACGCTGTAAAACCAAATTTGAAATTCAAATTTGAAATATCTCTGAACTACTGTTATCAGTGAAAGAAGTATTGGAAAAGAGCAAGTTTTATTAATGCTTTTTGAAAGATTAGGACTCTTTAATGATCACTTGACATGAAAATCTTAAAAATCTTTAAAAGCCACATAAAACATAAAAAGCAGACGTTAGTAGAAGCAGAAAAAAAAAAAAAGTCTTTCACAGCAATAGACGTGACAAACATGAGACGGAGACAAGAACACGGACATCAGCAGTGACTGAGTCCACACCGTGACTGCAGCTTTAACTGTTCACGCGCCACAGTTTGAGAAGCGTTTTGGAGATTCCAGTGTTGGGTTGTTCCTGATGTGGGACCGTGTGAGTGTGAGTGTGCGGCGTCACAGAGAAACCTGTCTGTCTGAATGTAGTCTTTCTGCCTCCACTCTGCTTCACATGGAAACACTGAGGAAGAGGAGGAGCCACACAAATCTGAACTCTGAACATTGTAGAGCTCTTTGGGTGACCTTGGTCTGTAAAAATGCACTATATACATAAAGATTACTGGCTTACTTACTTAAAAACATTGAAATTAAATGACATTTTTCCAGCTAAAAAGTAACATTTGGTAAGAATCTGACAGTGCGGAAAATATTTTAGCTTTTTGTCTAAACCTTTCAGAGATTGTTTATACAGTCTCTCTTTAGTTTTGTGTATTTCAAGGTTCTTTATTTTCCACAAAGAGAGATTTGTCTTTGGCTCAGACTCCTGTTGGACACAAACACACAAGACTCTGTGAACTTCAGGACATCAACACAAGAATATACCATAATATCACACAGTCCCATCAGAGCAAAGACACAGATCCATGCTCAGAAAGAGACCTCAGTTCAAAACCCCATTTACACATTAGTAAGTACGTTTATTTATATAGCGCCTGTCACTGACCAGATAGGAGTGAGGTGTAACCCTAACCCAGTGCACAGGAGGCACATGCCAGACCTATTCTACATGTTTCTAGTGGTGTTGAAATGAGCGAGGAGTCAGTGATGAAGTTCCGTTTAAGTCTTAATCAGCTTATACAACGTGGCTGTATCATGGAACTACTTGGCAAGAGTGAACAAGCATGCGCACTAATGACAAGCATAAGACGAGGTACATTTATCAGAATGATTTACAGTAGGGGAAACCGGAGCACCCAGAGGAAATCTACACAGACACGGAGAGAACACGCAAACTCCACTCAGAAAGGACCCAGGTCACCCAATAGGAGCACACAATAAGCAGCAAAGTTCAGTTAAAAACACTATTCGCACAATAAGCAGCAAAGTTCCTTCTGTGACTAAAGTACTAGTGCGATACAGATCAAGAGAGTACATAGCACATTCCCAAACAAAGTGCTTGTGCAGTTGGAAACATTAAAAGTACTGCAGATTACAGAAACAGGAGATACGTGAGAGCGACGGAGAATTGCGTCTGTTCGACTATTTACTATTTGTTACTCATCGACTTGATTAGTCTTGATTAGTCTTGATTAGTTTTGATTAGTCTTGATTAGTTTTGATGCAAAGAACATTTAAACCTCCTTCACTCACTGCTGTCGTCGTTTCAAAGTCGTGTTTTCTTCTTGTCTTCGTCCGGTTTGTTTACGTTTGGTATTTTGTCAACACACTCCGCCGACCGTGCTGGTAATGCACCAATGCCTCATAATGATTTTATTTACTCTAGGACGCCACCCAGAGGCCAAAATGTGCACTTGCTCAATTTCCATTCCACCACTATCACCTACACAAATGTTTTTCATATCATGTGACAGGACCAACATGAAGCACAGAAATAGGTTAGGGTTCTAAAAATAGAATTAAAACACTGATTTATTTCATTGTTCATTCATTCATTCATTTCTTACCCCTTCATCAGTCCATTTCTGCATCGGGGCTATCAGAACTGCACCCAATGCTCTTAGCACCAGTTCCTCGGTGATCTTCCGGCACAGCCTTTATCTTACAGCGAGGGCTTCAGGCAACGTAGGGGTTAAGTGTCCTGCCCAGGGACACAACAACAGCAGACGTGGGAGCAGTTGGAGTAGATAGATAAATAGATGGATATATACTTTCTTGATACCCGTAGGAGAAATTCAGGTTAGCAGCAATGCAAATATGAGGTCAAAGCAGCAGAGATGGAGCCACTTGGTTTGGACCATTTTCTCTGCTCTGGTCCAACGTGAAAGGCCAGATGCTTTGCTAGCATTTTTCAAAAAGTAGGCCTCGTGGGGAGATCAAACCAACAACCTTCAGGCCCAAAGGTAAATCTCTACCAACTGAGCCACTGTCGCCCCAATATCATTGTTATTTTTATTTTTTTAAACTGTCTGTGGGGCATAAGTTTTTATTTTGCTCATCCACTTCATCTTTTTCCCCTTTGTGTGTCTGTGTGTGTGTGTGTGTGTGTGTTTGTAAATTTTGTCTTATTCCTTGGCGTGGGTGGGGGTGGGTGGACGCTGGTGTTGACATTCAGCGATATTATCTGTTTTCTCCTTCACCTTTTTACTTAACGCTGTATGTCTGTTATTGTTAAAATGTTCAATAAATAGAGTTGTGAGAAGAAAAAAAAAAAACAACTTTCTTTAAAAAGACTGGACTGAGACGGTTCTATTTTTCCTGAGCATTTCTACCGCTTCACTTCCCCTGCAGCAACACACACTTCTCCTGCAGCAACACACACTTCTCCTGCGGCAACACACACTTCTCCTGCAGCAACACACACTTCCCCTGCAGCAACACACACTTCTCCTGCAGCAACACACACTTCCCCTGCAGCAACACACACTTCTCCTGCAGCAACACACACTTCTCCTGCGGCAACACACACTTCTCCTGCGGCAACACACACTTCTCCTGCGGCAACACACACTTCCCCTGCGGCAACACACACTTCCCCTGCGGCAACACACACTTCCCCTGCGGCAACACACACTTCCCCTGCGGCAACACACACTTCCCCTGCGGCAACACACACTTCCCCTGCAGCAACACACACTTCACCTGCAGCAACACACACTTCCCCTGCAGCAACACACACTTCCCCTGCAGCAACACACACTTCTCCTGCGGCAACACACACTTCCCCTGCGGCAACACACACTTCCCCTGCGGCAACACACACTTCCCCTGCGGCAACACACACTTCTCCTGCGGCAACACACACTTCTCCTGCAGCAACACACACTTCCCCTGCGGCAACACACACTTCCCCTGCGGCAACACACACTTCTCCTGCAGCAACACACACTTCTCCTGCAGCAACACACACTTCCCCTGCGGCAACACACACTTCCCCTGCGGCAACACACACTTCCCCTGGAGCAACACACACTTCCCCTGCAGCAACACACACTTCCCCTGCGGCAACACACACTTCCCCTGCGGTAACACACACTTCTGCAGCAACACACACTTCCCCTACGGCAACACACACTTCTGCAGCAACACACACTTCCCCTGCGGCAACACACACTTCTCCTGCAGAAACACACACTTCCCCTACGGCAACACACACTTCTGCAGCAACACACACTTCTCCTGCGGCAACACACACTTCTCCTGCAGCAGCACACACTTCCCCTGCGGCAACACACACTTCCCCTGCGGCAACACACACTTCTCCTGCGGCAACACACACTTCCCCTGCAGCAACACACACTTCTCCTGCAGCAACACACACTTCTCCTGCAGCAACACACACTTCCCTTGCGGCAACATACACTTCCCCTGCGGCAACACACACTTCTCCTGCAGCAAAACACACTTCCCCTGCAGCAACACACACTTCTCCTGCGGCAACACACACTTCCCCTGCGGCAACACACACTTCCCCTGCGGCAACACACACTTCCCCTGCGGCAACACACACTTCCCCTGCGGCAACACACACTTCTCCTGCGGCAACACACACTTCTCCTGCGGCAACACACACTTCCCCTGCGGCAACACACACTTCTCCTGCGGCAACACACACTTCTCCTGCAGCAACACACACTTCCCCTGCGGCAACACACACTTCCCCTGCGGCAACACACACTTCTCCTGCGGCAACACACACTTCCCCTGCGGCAACACACACTTCCCCTGCGGCAACACACACTTCCCCTGCGGCAACACACACTTCCCCTGCGGCAACACACACTTCCCCTGCGGCAACACACACTTCTCCTGCGGCAACACACACTTCTCCTGCGGCAACACACACTTCTCCTGCGGCAACACACACTTCTCCTGCGGCAACACACACTTCTCCTGCGGCAACACACACTTCCCCTGCGGCAACACATACTTCCCCTGCGGCAACACACACTTCTGCAGCAACACACACTTCTCCTGCGGCAACACACACTTCTCCTGCAGCAACACACACTTCCTCTGCAGCAACACACACTATACGAGCACAAAAGGTGCATACAACGTGAGCCTCTTGTGTAACTAGACGATGCAATAGTGAAAATGTAAACATAAATGATTCAATTATAAATAAATTATTGTTAGTATTCTGTCCATACAACATACAACGCACGGTCCATCTGCAGAGTTCAGATCTGTTTGAATGGTTTTCCTAATGAGCCAAAGACATTAACGTGAGAGGTTTGAGCCGCTCCCAAACTCTCATAAACAGGATTTTGTGTGAGCTGTATTCATTATGAAGGAGACGCTCGGGTTTCTGCTCGGGTTTCACGGGTCACGAACGCTCGGGTGGATGTGGGTCAAATGTCCCACGTGTGTCCCGGGCCGGGCGCAGGTCGCATGGCGGCAGGTCCCAGGGCTGCAGGTCCAAGGGCTGCAGGTCCCAAGGGCTGCAGGTCCCAGAGCTGCAGGTCCCAGGGCTGCAGGTCCCAGAGCTGCAGGTCCCAGGGCTGCAGGTCCCAGGGCTGCAGGTCCCAGGGCTGCAGGTCCCAGGGCTGCAGGTCCCAAGGTTGCAGGTCCCAGGGCTGCAGGTCCTCATGTTTAGTCCTGACTCTGGGACTAGCAGGAGGCCAGTCCCTGTGATCCTCAGAGTCCCAGCAGGAGGCCAGTCCCTGTGATCCTCAGAGTCCCAGCAGGAGGCCAGTCCCTGTGCTCCTCAGAGTCCCAGCAGGAGGCCAGTCCCTGTGCTCCTCAGAATCCCAGCAGGAGTCCAGTCCCTGTGCTCCTCAGAGTCCCAGCAGGAGGCCAGTCCCTGTGCTCCTCAGAATCCCAGCAGGAGTCCAGTCCCTGTGCTCCTCAGAGTCCCAGCAGGAGTCCAGTCCCTGTGCTCCTCAGAGTCCCAGTAGGAGGCCAGTCCCTGTGCTCCTCAGAGTCCCAGTAGGAGGCCAGTCCCTGTGCTCCTCAGAGTCCCAGTAGGAGGCCAGTCCCTGTGCTCCTCAGAGTCCCAGCAGTTTTGTTCAAACCTGAACTTTTTTAAATGAAATGTTGTTGTTGTTCGTTGCAGAGTTGAATCTGGCCTGGAACCCTTCAGATCATCCAGGAGACAGCACCATGTTCCTCAGCAAGTCCCACACTGACGGTGAGTCCCTGCAGTCTGTAGACCAGTCATGTTTAAAGCAGAGGTACGTAAGTTTAAAGTTGGATTTATGTATTAACATCCATGTCTCTAGTTCCTGGCCAGTGCTCAGACCAGTCCTCAAACCAGTCCAGGTCCAGTCCTTAGACCAGTCCTATTTTTTCAGAAAAGATCAGATCTAGATCAGATTTTTCAGACAAAAAAAGTGAAAAAGATAGGACCCTCCTCTCTCAGCCAATCAGCTCTCAGCTCAAATAGTCAAATAGTGACTCACAGGGTTCTTTATTACACAAAAGACAGCTCGTTGTGGTCTGAGTGGTTCACAACATCCCATTGGACAAACTACTGGTGTTACTTATGAGACTAAAGTTACGTACCTCAGCTTTAAAGGACAAACATGTACTGTTTAATGTCACATGTGTAGTTTGTTTAAATCTGAACAGATTGTGTTTTTGTGATTGCTGCAGCGGTGCCCAGTCTCAGCAGTGAGTCCTGTGTGTGGTTTTCAGTCTTTAGCAACACAATAGTGTGTGTTCTTGTTGTAGACTTGTGTTTCAGCTGCTGCCGATGAAAGTCAGTGGGAAAGAAGACATTTGTGAAAGAAATGTGTAAAAATCAAATGTTCCGTTGTTTCTACCCGATCTTAATTTGATAGGGATTTATAATGAGGCTATAGTTGGCAAAGAGACCAGAGGGAGACCAGAGAGAGACCAGAGGGAGACCAGAGGGAGACCAGAGAGAGACCAGAGAGAGACCAGAGAGAGACCAGAGAGAGACCAGAGAGAGACCAGATATATATACCAGAAACATAAAAACATTGATTTGCTTATTCTTATGGGTTTCCCCCCACCTTCATGTGAAACTATCGCTCTTTGGAACATGCTGATGTCACATGAACACAAACTATAACTGTGTGAAAGAATATACAAAGTCATGTGTGATTCATGGTTTGCCGTTCATGGTTCAGAATGGGAACGTTTGTCCATAGTGTGAACTGTACACATAAGTATTTTGGAATAAGAGATGACCGAGGATGAGCAACTCTCTGAAACTCTCCCGGGGTGTTCCAATCCAGCTCTGACCATGACGTCGTAGTCTGAGGGAGGATTCCTCTTGAGTATTGAGTTTGAGAAGAGAGCACTCTGGCAGAAGGGGCGGGGGGAGTGTTTGTGATGGGGTCAGTGTGTGTTTTTAGTGTGTTTCTGAAAATTAGAAAATCAAACTAAAACCACTTTCTCTGCAGTTCGGGACAAAAGGAAGAGTCTGTACATCAACAATGTAAGTAACTACTGCTGCTACTGCTACTGCTACTGCTACTGCTGCTGCTACTGCTGCTACTTCTACTGCTGCTACTGCTGCTGCTACTGCTGCTGCTACTGCTACTGCTACTGCTACTGCTGCTACTACTGCTACTGCTGCTACTGCTGCTGCTACTGCTACTGCTACTGCTACTGCTGCTACTGCTACTACTGCTGCTGCTGCTACTGCTGCTACTGCTACTGCTACTGCTGCTGCTGCTACTGCTACTGCTACTACTGCTGCTACTGCTGCTGCTGCTGCTGCTGCTGCTACTGCTGCTGCTGCTACTGCTGCTGCTGCTGCTGCTGCTGCTACTGCTGCTACTGCTACTACTGCTACTACTGCTGCTACTACTACTTCCTGTCTCACTGTTTTCTGCAGAACGGCACGAGTCGGAGGAAGTACAGCTCGTGTTCCACCATCTTCCTCGACGACAACACAGTGAGCCGCCCGCACCTCAAGTACACGGTCAAATGGTGAGAACAACGGGTCAGATAATAATATAGTATAATATACAATAATATGTTAGCTTTTTGCTTCAATAAGTAAATAAATGTGAATCAAACATGAGGAATAACATTGTAAATATTTAAAGTTCCAAAACTCACATTACTTCTCCCTTCCTCCATCGCCTCAGCCATCCACAGGAGGAGTAGCGACTCTACATTGAGCTCCTCATCCATATATTTATAATTTCCTTAAACATCTTGTTCAATCTTACCATAATGCCAGGGAAAGTCTGCATAAGCCTCAAACAGCGCCACCCTCCATCTGCTGGTACCAGTGGGAACTGCAGCCCCCATTGTAACTGCTCTATCTATGACATCACAGATCACTCATTGTGGGCGGGTGACCATCTTTCTTTAGTGGAAAGTTGGTTTGAAGCTCATATTTTGCTTCGGTGGTTATTTAAAGTGTTTTGACCAAAGAATTACTTTTATTTAACAGTTTAATATTATTTTCTCATGAACCTGGACCCAAGGAAATGAAGAATTGTGAAACTCAACTGCATTGTGGGTTCAATGTTTAGAATATTTTAGATTTTAAGGTTGTTTTTCAGAGAATTCTTATGTTAAAATTATGTATAACATGCCATGGTTTAAGTTTTGTGCAAAAACCAGTGCAAAGTGGGGACCCCCTCTTTAATGACCTTTGTTTAATGACCTGATGTCTGACTCCTCCCACAGTTTGTCTTTGGCCATTTACTACCACATCAAGAACAGGTGAGACACACACGCACACGCACACACACACGCATAGAAAGAAATACAGATGTTGTTTGAAAGTTTTCATTCCCGGGCAGAAATATTGACTTGTCTTATCTGATGCCAGGGATCCAGAGGGTGGAATGGTGCTGGACATTTTTGACGAAAAACTTCACCCTCTCACTGTGAGTCCAGTCGCAAAACACAACTAAGTAATAAAAAACACAACATCAATCAAGTGTTCCATTTGTCTGAAAAATTTAATTTAAAGACGATACATGTTGTGAATACAGGGGCGACAGTAGCTCAGTTGGTAGAGCATTGGCCTTTGGGCCTGAAGGTCGTGGGTTCAAGCCCACCATAAGACCTACTTCACGACTCCCACTGATGACTGCTGTCGTTGTGTCCTTGGGCAAGACACTTAACCCCACTTTGCCTGAAGCCCCCCACTGAAAGATCTCAGCTCCTGTGGACTCACCACCTGCAGGAGGATCAGTGAGGGGCTGGTGCTAAGTGTACTGGGTGCAGCTCTGACTGCCACCCCCCCGACCCAGAAATGGATCAAGGGGAAGAAAATGGATGGATGGATGGACATGTTGTGAAAACTAGTGATTGAAGCAAACTGTTTTAGAGCCAGGACCAAGTGACATGGACTTTATTACAGAGTTGTGTTGTTGTGGCTTTAAACTGTGTCCCTGTGTCCCGGCAGAAACACGAGGTGCCTCTGGACTACGACAAACTGGAGCCGGAGCAGAAACAGATTTACAGATTTGTGAGGACGCTTTTCAGTGCAGCGCAACTCACAGCAGAGTGCGCTATCGTCACACTGGTGAGACACACACACACACATATATACAGTATATACGCACACACAAATATACTCACACACATAATCACAGGCATAATGCACACATACATATACAGTGCATCCAGTAAGTATTCACAGCGCTTCACTTTTACCATATTTTGTTATGTTACAGCCTTTTTCCAAAATGTATTCAATATTTTTTTTTTACTCACAATTCTACACACAACACCCCATAATGACAACATGCAAAAAAAAAACATGAAATTCTTGCAAATATATTTAAAATATATAAAAAACTAAGAAACCACATGTACATAAGTATTCACAGCCTTTGCTTAATCCTTTGTTGATGCACCTTTGTCAGCAATTACAGCCTCAAGTCTTTTTGAATATGATGCCACAAGCTTGGCACACCTGTCTTTGGGCAGTTTAGCCCATTCCTCTTTGCAGCACCTCTCAAGCCCCATCAAGTTGGATGGGGAGTGTCTGTGCACAGCCATTTTCAGACCTCTCCAGAGATGTTCAATTGGATTCAAGTCTGGGCTCATTCACAGAGTTGTCCTGAAGCCACTTCTTTGTTATCTTGGCTGTGCTTAGGGTCGTTGTCCTGCTGAAAGATGAACCGTCGCCCCAGTCTGAGGTCAAAAGCGCTCTGCAGCAGGTTTTCATCCAGGATGTCTCTGTAAATTGCTGCATTCATCTTTCCCTCTATCTTGACTAGTCTCCCAGTTCCTGCCGCTGAAAAACATCCCCACAGCATGATGCTACCACCCCCATGCTTCACTGTAGGGATGGTATTGGCTTGGTGATGAGCAGTGCCTGGTTTCCTCCAAACATGACGCCTGGCATTCACGCCAAAGAGTTCAATCTTTGTTTCATCAGAACAGAGAATTTTTTTCTTTGAGTCCTTCAGGTGCCTTTGGCAAACTCCAGACGGGCTGTCATGTGCCTTTTACTAAGAAGCGGCTTCCGTCTGGCCACTCTACCATACAGGCCTGATTTGTGGATTGCTGCAGAGATGGTTGTCCTTCTGGAAGGTTCTTCTCTCTCCACAGAGGAACGCTGGAGCTCTGGCAAAGTGACCATCGGGTTCTTAGTCACCTCCCTGACTAAGGCCCTGCTCCCCCAATCACTCAGTTTAGAGGCCGGCCAGCTCTAGGAAGAGTCCGGGTGGTTCCAAACTGCTTCCATTTACGGATGATGGAGGCCACTGTGCTCAGTGGGACCTTAAAAGCAGCAGACATTTTTCTGTACCCTTCCCCAGACCTGTGCCTCGGGACAATCCTGTTTCGGAGGTCTACAGACAATTCCTTTGACTTTATGCTTGGTTTGTGCTCTGACATGTACTGTCAACTGTGGGACCTTATATATACAGGTGTGTGCCTTTCTGTGGGACCTTATATATACAGGTGTGTGCCTTTCTGTGGGACCTTATATATACAGGTGTGTGCCTTTCTATGGGACCTTATATATAGGCAAGGCAAGGCAAGGCAAGTTTATTTATATAGCACAATTCATACACAAGGCAATTCAAAGTGCTGAACAAAACAAGAAAGCATTAAAATCATAAATTATCACAGAACATTAAAAAGAAAGATAAAAATATAAAATCCCTCAGTTGTATGCACAGTTAAACAGAACTGTCTTTAACCTGGTTTTAAACATTGTCAGAGAGGAGGCCTGTCTCACATCTTCAGGAAGACTGTTCCAGATTTTAGCAGCATGAATCTGATAAGCAGCCTCCCCATGTTTAGTTCTGACTCTGGGCACTAACAGGAGTCCAGTCCCTGTGCTCCTCAGAGTCCGGGCTGGTTCATATGGGACTAACATGTCACTAATATATTTTGGTGCGAGGCTATGGAGAGACTTGTAACAAGCAGAGCTGTTTTAAAGTCTATTCTCTGAGCCACAGGAAGCCAGTGCAGAGACCTGAGGACTGGACTAATGTGGTTGTACTTCCTGGTTCCAGTCAGGACTCGAGCTGCTGCATTTTGAATGTACTGCAGCTGTTTTACAGCCTGTTTGGACAGACCTGTGAGCAGGCCATTGCAGTAGTCTAACCTACTGGAGACAAATGCATGGATAAGAATCTCCAAGTCTGCTTTAGACACTATGTTTTTGATCCTGGCAATGTTTTTTAGATGGTAAAAAGCTGCTGATGTTACTGATTTGATGTGGCTATTCAAATTTAAGTCTGAGTCCAGTATTACCCCTAGATTTCTGACCTTGTTTGAAGGTTTTAGGGAGAGAGACTGTAGGGGACAGATGACGCTCTCTCTTTGTTTCTGGGGACCAAAGACAATCATTTCAGTTTTGTCTGCGTTTAGCTGAAGGAAGTTGTTTTGCATCCACTCACTGATCTGTTGGATACAGTGAAGGAGTGAGTCCACTGGTCCATGTTCTCCTGCAGTCAGTGAGACATAGATCTGAGTGTCGTCTGCATAGTTATGATAGGAAACTTCGTTTCTGCGTATTAACTGACCTAACGGCAGCATGTAGAGATTGAACAGATGAGGTCCCAGGATCGACCCCTGTGGTACTCCACAGGTCAGGGCCATATGATCTGAGACACAGTTTCCAATCTCCACAAAGTACTTCCTGTCCTCAAGGTAAGACCTAAACCAACTTAGGGCGGTGCCAGCGACGCCAACCCAGTCCTCTAGTCTCTGTAAGAGGATCTCATGGTCGACAGTGTCAAAGGCAGCACTTAGATCTAACAAGATTAAGATTGAGACTTGGCCTGCGTCAGTGTTCAGCCGGATATCGTTTGTAACCTTAACGAGAGCAGTCTCAGTGCTGTGGTGGGGTCTAAAGCCGGACTGAAACATATCAAATGAGTTGTTGATTATAAGAAATCTAGTAAGCCAGTGTTTTTCAACCTTTTTTGAGCCAAGGCACACTTTTTTCACTGAAAAAATCTTGCGGCACACCTCCAGGAGAAAATGTAAAAATGTATACAGTACTAATGTAAAAAAATATATACTGTACATACTCTGTGTGATATATAAAGTATATCTTATCTTATAATGTATACAGTATACTCTGTAGCCTATATTCACAATATACAGTTATTCTCATCAAAATGCTTAAGTCCAGGCCTTGAAATTAAGCTTTATTTAATATTTCTCGATACAATTAACAAGAGTTTGGGAATAAAGTGGCACTAACTGTGTGGAAAAAAACTAAGAAAATCCACTCTCTGCCCAAATAGTCAAATAATAACTCACACAAAGAACATGCATTGTTAGTGCATGGGAAACATTTTGGTATCCGAGCTTTAAATTCAGGAGTTTTGGATGAGGGACACGGGAGGTCCTGAACGCGAGTCCATGGTTCTGTCCGGTCCGCATGTCTGTGGTTCTGTCCACTCGACTACGGTCTGCGCTCGGTACCCAGTTCAGAAGTGCGTTCGCGAGAGCTGTTGTACAAAAATCGTACATTTCATAGTTAAACCACTACAACGCGGCCACAGCTACCCCGGGGCAGAGCTGTTCAGAAACGGCATAATTCATTTTCAAAAACGTCTCTATCACTTTCACTTCTCACTCGCCACAAAGCTCTTGTCTCGCTCCCTCCCACATTTGTTGGTCGCATCCAATTTTACCTTTCTCGCCACAATGCTGACCTGTTACAGCCAGTGGTCGCATCCAATTTTTCAGTTTCAAAGTACTTAGCTATCTGCTGCCATCTACTGATTTGAAAAAGTATTACATGGTTACTCACAGTTCAAAACAAGTCACCGCTCGTCAACAGCGAATGCAGCTATTTTTAGACAAAGTAGACGAATTTCTCACGGCACACCAGACAATATCATACGGCACACTAGTGTGCCGCGGCACAGTGGTTGAAAAACACTGTAGTAAGCTGTAGGTAGACAACTTTCTCAAGGACTTTCCCCATAAATGGCAGATTTGAGATGGGACGATAGTTGTTAAGTACCGTAGCATCGAGACTGCCCTTTTTTAGCAGGGGCCTGATGACTGCAGTTTTCAGGGCCTTTGGGAATATTCCAGAATGAAGGGACATGTTTACTATCTGTGTGAGTGAAGGTAACAGACTGCTCAGAACAGACTTCAGAAATCTAGTGGGTAGTACATCCAAGCTGCATGTGGAGGAGCTCAAACTGGAGATTGTCTCTTGGACAGTTTGATCATTTACAGGTGCAAAGTGAGTTAGCTCAGAGTGCCTTTCTGGCTGTTGGATGGTTATCTGTGGATTGGAGACAATGGCGTTTTTGATGCCTTGAACCTTGTCATTGAAAAAATTAGCAAACTCATTGCATTTACGTTTGGAAGTTAGCTCTAATGGCATTTGAACAGGGGGGTTTGTTAATCTATTAACTGTTGAGAACAGAACACGCAGATTGTTGCTGCAGCCTTCAATCATTTCAGAAAAATACCTTTCTCTCGTACTACGTAGCACCCGGTTAAACTCGCACAACTTATCTTTGAAGATCTTGTAATCAACCTGGAGGTTGGACTTGCGCCACTCCCGCTCGGCCCTCCGGCACTTTCTCTTTTGTGCCCTGACCGAGTCTGCTTTAGCCCACGGCGCCTTCTGCTTATTTTTCACTATTTTAACCTTCACAGGGGCAACGGTATCCAGAACATTCAAAACACTAGAGGTGACAGAGTTCAACAGTTCATCTACAGTAGAATACGATGCATTCTCAAAGTTTATCATTCCCATAAATAGTTCACTCGTATTTTCATTTATGCGCCTTCTTCGAACAGTTGCAGAGTCCACTGGTGGTTTGTTAGTGAAACACATGTAAAAAAAAACACAGAAATGATCCGAAAGAGCAACATCGACCACGTTTACATTTGAAATATTCACCCCCTTAGTAACTAACAGATCTAGAGTGTGCCCTCTGCTGTGGGTGGGGCCACTTACGTGCTGAGTGAGATCAAAGGATTCAAGTACAGAACTCAGCTCATTTGCATTTCTGTCATCAACATTATCCATCCATCCATCCATCCATTTTCTACCCTTTAATCCATTTCTGGGTCAGGGGGGTGGCAGTCAGAGATGCCACCCAAGTCTCATAGCACCAGCCCCTCACTGACCCTCTGCAGGTGGTGAGTCCACAGGAGGACGGCTACTCTCTGAGTGTGAGCATAGCCTTGATCTTTCAGTGGGGGCTTTGGGCAAAGTGGGGTTAAGTGTCTTGCCCAAGGACACAACGACAGCAGTCATCAGTGGGAGTCGGTGGAGAAGGTGCAGAGGTGGGAACATTATCCACATGAATATTAAAATCACCTGTAATAACCAAACTATCAAAATCTGTGCATACAACTGAAAGCAACTCGGTAAAATTATCAATAAAACTGTGACATGACTGCGGTGGCTTGTATAGGACAATGAAGAGTATTGGAGGAGATTGTTTTTGTTGTATTTTAAAAGACACATATTCAAATGACGAAAACTTCCCAAGAGACATTCTGTGGGAGACAAAGTGGTCTCTAAAAATGGCAGCTAAGCCTCCTCCTTTTTTGTTTTCCCGTATTTCAGATTCAAACTTGAAATTTGGTGGTGATGCTTCTATTAAAACTGCATTTCCTGAATTTTGGTCAAGCCAAGTTTCAGCCATGAACATAAGATCAAGATTATGAGAACAAATAAAATACAGGTGTGTGCCTTTCTGTGGGACCTTTATATATACAGGTGTGTGCCTTTCTGTGGGACCTAATATATACAGTGTGTGCCTTTCTGTGGGACCTAATATATACAGGTGTGTGCCTTTCTGTGGGACCTTATATATACAGGTGTGTGCCTTTCTGTGGGACCTTATATATACAGGTGTGTGCCTTTCTGTGGGACCTTATATATACAGGTGTGTGCCTTTCTGTGGGACCTTATATATACAGGTGTGTGCCTTTCTGTGGGACCTTATATATACAGGTGTGTGCCTTTCCAAATCAAGTCCAATCAACTGAATGTACCACAGGTGGACTCCAATGAAGCAGTAGAAGCATCTCAAGGATGATCCGTGGAAACAGGATCCACCTGAGCTCAACTTTGAGCTCCATGGCAAAGGCTGTGAATACTTATGTACATGTGGTTTCTTAGTTTTATTTTTAATAAATTTGCAAGAATCTCAAAACTTTATTCATGTTATCATTATGGGGTGTTGTGTGTAGAATTGTGAGGAAAAAAATTAATTGTGTCCATTTTGTGTCCATTTCACAAATGTGAAAAAATTGTAGCGCTTTGAATACTTTCCGGATACACTGTATGTACATACACACACACGCACACCAACACTCACACTCACACACACACACACACATACTAACACACACGTGTGCAGGTGTACCTGGAGCGGCTGCTGACTTATGCAGAGATGGACATCTCTCCTTCAAACTGGAAGAGGATCGTTCTCGGAGCCATTCTGCTCGCATCCAAAGTGTGGGACGACCAGGCCGTGTGGAACGTGGACTACTGCCAGATCCTCAAGGACATCACCGTGGAGGACATGTGAGGGACTGAGACTGGGACTGGGGCCGAGACCAGGACAGAGACCAGGACAGAGACCGGGGCCGAGACCGGGACAGAGACCGGGACAGAGACCGGGGCCGAGACCGGGGCCGAGACCGGGGCCGAGACCGGGGCCGAGACCGGGGCCGAGACCGGGGCCGAGACCGGGGCCGGGACTGGGGACTGAGATCAGAGCTGAGGCCCAGATCATCAAGGACATCACCAGGACCGAGGCCGGGACTGAGACTAAGACTGAGACCAATGCTAATATGGTCGGCACTAGATCATAAACGGAATCGGGACGAAACCGGAAGTAACGATCATACTTTCAAATTAGTTTTAGACTAATAAGTCCTTAAATGGTGACTGGTTAAGTTTTAGGTGTCTGAGTAAGATGGTTAAGGTTAGGGTTAAGGTGGGTTGGGGTTATTTAATGGGAATGGCTGGTTAAGTTTAGGCATGAATAGGTAGTTTGTTATATTTACTTCCGCTTTCGTCCCGATTCCGTTTATGATCTAGTGCTGACCATGCTAACATGGTTAACTGAGGCTCGCATTACAGTCGCACTACAGTCGCACTACAGTTGTTGTTTAATGTTGTGAAAAGCGTATTCACTGCATAAATTATAAGCTTGGACTTTTACAAAGGTTTTAAAATTCATGACTTCCTTTTAAACTATAATATTCACATACAGCCCTTTGAGTGAAACAGTACTCACTGGGATCAAGTTGCAGTAATGATACTGAGTTTTGTGTTTTATTTCGAAGGAACGAGTTGGAGCGCCACTTCCTGGAGCTGCTGCAGTTCAACATAAACGTCCCGTCCAGTGTTTACGCCAAATATTACTTCGACCTGCGTTCGTTATCGGAGACAAACAACCTGAGCTACCCCCTGGAGCCCCTCAGCCGGGACAAGGCTTATAAACTCGAGGTAAACCAGAAGAAGGAGTTTAAAACGTCTGTTGTTTGTACTTAATACAGACAATGTAATGTAGATTTAAAGCAGGACTGAAGCAGGTCGAGTGCAGGATTAAAACGGGTCTACGGTCTAAAGCAGGTCCATCCCAGATCTAAAGGAGATCTAATGCAGGTCCAACCCAGGGTTTCTCAGGATTCTAACCAGAACTAAACTAGGTCTAAAGCAGGACTAAGCACGCTAAAACAGGTCTAAAGCAGGACTAAAACAGGACAAAAGGCAGGTCTAAAGTAACCTGACTCTCGTCAGACCCTTGTAGACCCCAGGGTCTGGGTCTATTCCATAGCGGATACATTTCAGAAGGCGGGGCCTTGTAAAAAAATCCTTGTATGTGATTGGATAAACCACTTGTCTGTTATCTTGAATGACCTGTTCCTTCAACCACTCGCATCAAAGCACACGACTGCACACGACACGAATGTGTAGCCAAATGCCGGCAAGATTTTCCAGCCCAAAACCCGCGAGAATGCCCAAAAGCTATCATGGGCTATCATGATTCTGTTTATCATGATTCTGTTTATTGCCTTTCTGTTTAATTACTTCTAAGTCTCTTGAAAAAAAAGTACGCGGGAAACCACCCAACACTTAAACCAGTACGAACATTTGACTCTTAAAACGCACGTAAATCAACATATAACAATCTGTGTCTTAATTAGTTCGTATTTAAACTTTTTTTTTTTATTCACGGACTTTATGTCCGCCATCTTGGATTGCTTTCGCTGCCGTGGGAGACACGCTTGAGAAGGCGGTGCAAACCAGACGTAACACTGATTATTTTTTGATCTCCTTAAGGAGTTTGCTATGCGCTCGATCCCAGACCGTTGTGTTCAGCCAAACGCCTCTGGTGGAGCATGGCGGACCTACAAGGGTCTGACGAGAGCCAGGCTAGGTCTATAGCAGGTCTTAAGTAGGTCTTAAGTAGGTCTAAAGTATGACTAAATCAGGTCTAAATCAGGTCTAAATCCGTAGGTAAAGAGCGGCACGGTGGCTGAGTGGATAGCACTCTCGCCTCTCAGCAAGAAGGTCCTGGGTTCGAATCCCGGTCGGATCAGTGCCTTTCTGAGTGGAGTTTGCATGTTCTCCCCGTGTCTGCGTAGGTTTCCTCCGGGTACTCCGGTTTCCCCTACCACTAAAAATATGTCCAATGTGCTGTACTGGCGACCCCGCTCCCATCTCTGTGTGGAGTGAGAGGACAAGTGCCCAAAAATAACAATTGTAAACCGCTTTGAGACTCAGGTTTGCAGTGAAAAGGCGCCACCTCTGCTGTTTTCCACATTTCCACATCTCTTTTGTTGTGTCTTTGGGCAGGACACTTCCACACCTGCTTTTATCAATGGGGATAAAATGCTAATGCATTTTTATGCAACCATTTGAATTTTAATTTACTTCTTTTTTTCCAGGCAATTTCTCGACTTTGTGACGACAAATACAGAGATGCCCGAAGAGCAGCCAGGAAGCGGTCAGCGAGCGTTGACAACCAGTGTGGGGTCGCATGGGTCCCAGCCATCCTGTCCTAACTACTACTACCACTACTACTACTACTACTACTACTAGTAGCTAGTGCTAGTGCTACTATAACTACTACTACTTCTATTATTAATACTCTTCTACTGTTACTACCACTGCAACTACTACTACTGTTACTGTTACGGCAACTTATACTACTTCTACTATAACTATTACTACTACTACTACCTCTACTATTTCTGCTACTACAAATATGACTACTACTACTTCTACTATTTCTGCAACTACAACTGTGACTACTACTACTACTACTACTGCTACCATTACTACTATTACGGCAACTACTACTAATACTAGTTGTAGTACTGCGGCTGCGCCTGTCACTGCTACTGCATACATTTTACTGCAGAAGTTCAAAGCCCAAACATCGATAACGGATCAACAAGGATTCTACCTACTACTACCACTAAAAGTACTTTGACTATGACCACTACTACTTCTACTGCTACTACTACAATTACTGGAATCGATTCACAAGGAAAATGAGTTGGACATAATGTAATGACACCAAAAATAAGTGGTGTTAGAAGAAAACTACTACTTTGACAACTGCTTCTACTACTGCCATATTTGAACGCTGGGACAAGGCTTGAACCAGAAGTTTCGGCACGTAACTTTGAGAATTCCGCATTTGAATTTTGGACGAAATAAACGATGGCAAAGTCCTCTGACTGTGGATTAAAATAAGACAAAAGTGTAAATTCTCTTTTTTTGGAGGAAAAAGACTATTTCTCAGTGCCTAAACTCATGAGCGTTTGGAACAAGGAGCCTCCTGCCGTGCGGAAGTGAAAATTATTAATGTGGACTTTTGAATACACGTGAAGGCCAATGCGCTTTGCCGAGGTGGTGACCGTGGTAACCGGCGGCCATGTTGTGACAGATTCTGTAAATGAAATGTGATGTTTCTTTTTGTTTGTTTATCTATTTGAATGAGGGCATGCAGCGCAGTGAAGTGGACAGAGCTTCCGGTTTCCAGAAGTAGATTTCCCCAGTCAAAATCCCTACATGGGTTTCAAAAAATAGTAATTATAAAATGGTTTTAAGCTGGTCAGTGATCTACGTACGTTTATGGTCTTGTGGTCATTACTCCTCAGATCGTTCATCAGCTTGTTCAGTCTTTTAAGGCAAGGTAAGGTAAAACTAGTTTATTTGTATAGCACAGTTCAAACACAAGGCAACTCAAAGTGCCAAACAAGAAAGAAACAATCACACAAGGCGTTCAAATCAAGCTAATTATTTTTTATAAATCTCTATGGCGATTTTGAATGGGGAATTTTACTTACAAAGCTGCTCCAATAATCAAAGGGTCAGCAAACAGCTTCAACATGAAAATTCCGGAGTTAGCACAAAAATGTCATCCTTGGTCCCACCGGGTAAGACTCCCAGAATTCTGAAACTTCTAGAACTCCCAGAGCTTCCATTCAAACCAATGGAATTCTGAAAAACTCTCTTAGAAAGTAATATATATATATATATTTTTTCTTTTACTTTACTCTTTTTATTAAGTGCTAAAACTGGTTAACAGAAATGTAAAAACTGTTTGTTGGAAGGCTAATGCAAAAAACGAATGCTAACTGCTGACGGTAAACAGTGTGTTGCTATGGTGACCAGGACTCTTCTGTGATGGTAATTTCCTTGCAGTAAAATAAAATAAAATAAATTAATAAACTAAATGACAGCTAAATAAACTCCATACTGTTAGGAAAAAGTGTAATATAATTTCAAAACTAAAAGCCGTCAAAACGACTGCTCGGGGAGTTCTAGCATTAAAGGGGATATAACCTAAAGACCGACTGTTCTCAGCTTTGGGCCATGTTACAGCTGTTTCCCTTGTCATTTACACAAAGCTTTTTTAGTGCGATTTCTGCCTGTTTGAGTGATTTATGTCCTCATATATACACGCGCCACTATTGCTCTCCCCTCAGTCCTCTGACCACCGGCTCAGAGTTCCTCCCTTTGCCGACAGACCAGTCCCTCCCCCAGGTTTTACGCACTTTCTCAGTCGCTGAAATGCAGAGAAATCTTTAATTTTTGCTCAAAGGAAAAATGTATAATCACAACTTTGTCTGTAGAAAGGGGCGCGGCTAAGTGACCTAAGGGGCGTGGCTATGGGACATAAGTGGGCTGAGGGCGGAGCTACACGTCTGGTTTTTGATCTATAACTTTTCATTGAGCTACTGTGTTAGCATTGTCCATCTATATACAGCCTATGGTCCAAACTAAGACCCGACAGCCAAAGGAGGCCCTCAGAACAATCTTTCTTGGCTCTTTGGAAGTAGCACAAATCTCCCAACACCACTTTTTACTGCGAGTTTCTACAATTTCTCCCTTATCGACCCAATCCCAAACCGTTTCTATGGCGACATACACATCCGACAGCTCACATGGATCTTGTACTAGCCATCACTCGAGCATGGTCCCTCACTGGCCCTGTATGTTTTGTTGGTATTTCAATACGCGATAACGCCCCTGTCCTTAAACCATCCCTCTGACCACTCCCCTTTTTGGATTTTCGTTCTTAATAATCCGTGTTGCACAGACATTTTGGCACAATTGTACATAAATCCGCTGCTTTCTACTGTTATTATGAACATATGAAATCTAAATATGAGCTAATATGTATTGAAAAATTGTATTCAAAGCAATTTAAAGGACACACATTCTGCAAAAGGGGCTTTTCTCCATGTTCCGACATCGGTCTTCATTACAAACAGACCTGTGGTTGTGTTTGGCTCCATCCACGCTGATATTAGTAACGTGGGATAGGAGAATGGGAAGACCACCAAGTGCGCATTTTCTGCAACAAATGCGACCAACACAAGAGGCAGGAACAATTACAACCACCACTACAAAGTGCCGACATAGCAGCAGCTCACAGTGGGACTAAATGTAAAAAGCAAATAATGTCTCCTGAGGTTTAAGGCTAAGAGGGTTCTTTTAATAAGTCAAAGAGTGTAGAGCTAGTACCGCTTAATTACCTTTTTCGACTGCAGGCATCCGCCTTGGTAGAAATGACTCCTAATACCATTCCATTCCATTTTCTTCCGCTTCATCTGTTGTCGGTTGCGGGGGCAGCAGTCTAAGCAGAGACGCCCAGACTTCCCTATCCACACACACTTCCTCCAGCGTTTCCTGGGTCTTCCCCGGGGCCTCCCCCCGGTGGGACGTCCCCGGAACACCTCCCCAGGGAGGCGTCGAGGAGGTAACCGGAACAGATGCCCGAGCCACCTGAACTGGTTCCTCACTCTGCGGAAGAAGCTCATTTCGACCGCTTGTATCCGCGATCTCGTTCTTTCGGTCATTACCCAAAGCTCATGACCATAGGTGAGGGACGGAACGAAGATTGACGGTAAATCGAGAGCTTTGCCTTTCGGCTCAGCTCCCTCTTTACCACAACGGTCCGATACAGAGACCGCATCACTGCGCACGCTGCACCGATCCGCCTGTCAATCTCACGCTCCATCCTCCCCTCACTCGTGAACAAGACCCCGAGATACTTGAACTCCTCCACTTGAGGAAGGATCTCTCCACCCACCTCCAAAGGGCCCCTGTAGCAGAGTACGTGTCCTTTAATCTGAGCTGTCCCTCTGCAGACCCTCAGGTAGAAGAGTGTTTCATAGATTCGCGTCTGTGTAAAAAAAGTTTTGTCACAAACTCAAATGTTGTATGAAATAAACGGCTCAAGCACATAACGTGTTTTCTGTGTCTGAGAAACGGCTCAAAGGACTGAAGTTGGACGTTGATAGTGACCTCACTTACAGCAAAAAGGCACAGAGATGACTGTGGGAAAGGGTGGCGTGTTGTTTGGACATGTGTCGCCACCGAGAGGACAGGAACGTGTCAAATGAAAAGGGTCAAAACAAACTTTTCACCTCCAAAACAAGTCTAAACTAACAGTGCAAGTACTAAGGACCAGAGAGAACAAGAGAGACCAGAAAGAGCCCAGAGAGAGACAAGAAAAAGACTAGAGAGAGACAAGACAGAGACCAAAGAGAGACCAGAAAGAAAGTGTCATGTGGAGAAAAAAAGGAGGACCCAAAGTGCAGGAATGCCAAAATGAGGATTTAATAATAAAATAAAAGTCTTTGATAAAAACAAAGTCAAAATCCAAACGAGACCAGGAACATGGATAAACATAGACAGACCAAGAACATGGACCAGCAACAAGTGGGGATGAGCACAGGTACATACAGACACAGGGCAGACTATCACAGGGGAACAGGACATGAAGCAAAACTAAACTGAAACCATAGACAAATTAAGCCCAAATAAGTAAAAATAACACAAAATCCACACCATCACAGAGAGAGACCAGAGGGAATCACATTATAATAAACTACGACAAGTTAGAGGCAAGAAAGAATATTAACAAATACATGTTTTCCATGTCTTTATTTTGCGTCAGTAAAACAGAGAACAGTACACAGCAGCAGGGCAGGCCTAGACTCGTCCAGTTGCATCTGTTCATAGAGCAATTACATGCAGCACAGGCGCCCTCTGTGGGTTTAAGACGTCACTGCAGGCTTCCATACCGCTCCTAGACACATAATCTAATGTCCTTCTTTTTACTAATCTGTTATCAACGTTTGTCAATGTGTTTTCTGCAGATTTGAAAAGACTGAGTGGTGGAGAGTGGAGACTGTGGTTGGAAGAAAGGCGTGCAAATATGAGACTTCTTGCTATGTCTGCTATGCTTTGGAAGTCCTTGATAAGAATAGACCCGTGTGGAACAAGGGCAAGACTTAAAGAGACCAGAGGGCCAGTCCTTGTCTGGGCTTGGACTGGAGCAGGACCGAGGTTAGGACTGAACCAGGACTGAACCAGGACTAAACCAAGTCTGAACCAGAACTTGAGAGGGAGAATTAACAATAGGAATTTTCTTTTAAATAACCAAATACAAAAACCAAGTGATATCTAAGAGTAAACCAGGAAGTAAACTGGACCAGAAGCAGGACTAAACCAGGAGAGAAGTAGGGCTCGACTGGGGCTTAACCAGGAGGAAGAGAGGACTAGAGATGGGGAAATAGCAATGGGAACTTTTATCTAAATAACTTTACACAGTATGGTGACACCTGGGTCCAAACCAGGCCTGAAGAAGGACTAAACCAAGGCTGAAGCAGGTCTGAAGCTGGACTAAACCAAGGCTGAAGCAGGTCTGAAGCTGGACTAAACCAAGGCTGAAGCAGGACTAAACCAAGGCTGAAGCAGGACTGAAGCTGGACTAAACCAAGGCTGAAGCAGGTCTAAAGCTGGACTAGACCAGGACTGAAGATGGTCTCGTCCAAAGACTTGGTTCTGATCTCTTTGAGCCAAAACATCTCCTTCATAGGTGAGTTTCTGTGTGTTTTCTGTGTGTTCCTGGTACTTTTGACCTTATTGAAATCGAATCTGTGTTTTATTTATATATTTAGTTTGTTAGTGCCATTTTGTTTTGCACAGATAAACTATAGACACATTCACATAAGTACATTCTTCTCAAAGGTTAAAGGGCATCTCTGTTAACTTTACCTGCATCCACACTTTTCCGTTTTTTTCTAAGTTCACAATTCACAGACTGAAAAAACCTGTTTGAGTTTTATTTTTGAGAATAAAATATGAATTAAGCCACATTCAGTCATCAAATAGGCCTTAATGGTATAGAAGGGAATTTTCTACTTCTGGGTGGATCATCAAGACTATTGGTCCTCCCTTTGTCGATCATTCTGGTGATACGTGTTCGTCAAATAAGACCACAGAGTTTAGTTAAAAAAGTGGAGAGGGCAGTTCTCTCCTAAAATTCTCCAAAATACCTTTAAATATTACTATGGCTCATCTCTGGCTCAAATCGAGTTTCATGTAAAAGTAAACTCCTCCAGCTCAGTAACCGTTTGTGTCACACTCACCATTTTGGGATTAAAAAAGTTGGTGGTTTAACGCTCTCTGTGATTCTAGTATTTAGATGTTCATATTTTCTTTGTAAACTTAGATACAGTGTCTTGCGAAAGTATTCGGTCCCCTTGAACCTTTCAACATTTCGCCACATTTCAGGCTTCAAACATAAAAATTTAATTTTTTGTCATGAATCAACAAGTGGGACACAATCGTGAAGTGGAACGAAGTGTATTGGATAGTTTAAACTTTTGAAACAAATAAAAAACTGAAAAGTGGGGCGTGCAATATTATTCGGCCCCTTTATTTTCAGTGCAGCAAACGCACTCCAGAAGTTCAGTGAGGATCTTTGAATGATCCAATGTTGTCCTAAATGACTGATGATGATAAATAGAATGCACCTGTGTGTAATCAAGTCTCCGTATAAATGCACCTGCTCTTTGATAGTCTCAGGGTTCTGTTTAAAGCGCAGAGAGAACCATGAAGACAAAGGAACACACCAGGCAGGTCCGAGATACTGTTGTGGAGAAGTTAAAAGCTGGATTTGGATATAAAAAGATTTCCCAAGCTTTAAACATCTCAAGGAGCACTGTGCAAGCAATTATATTGAAATGGAAGGAGTATCAGACCACTGCAAATCTACCAAGACCCGGCCGTCCCTCCAAACTTTCATCTCAAACAAGGAGAAGACTGATCAGAGATGCAGCCAAGAGGCCCATGATCACTCTGGATGAACTGCAGATAACTACAGCTGAGGTGGGAGAGTCTGTCCATAGGACAACAATCAGTCGTGCACTGCACAAATCTGGCCTTTATGGAAGAGTGGCAAGAAGAAAGCCATTTCTCAAAGATATCCATAAAAAGTCATGTTGAAAGTTTGCCACAAGCCACCTGGGAGACACACCAAACATGTGGAAGAAGGTGCTCTGGTCAGATGAAACCAAAATCGAACTTTTTGGCCACAATGCAAAACGATATGTTTGGCGTAAAAGCAACACAGCTCATCACCCTGAACACACCATCCCCACTGTCAAACATGGTGGTGGCAGCATCATGCTTTGGGCCTGCTTTTCTTCAGCAGGGACAGGGAAGATGGCTAAAATTGATGGGAAGATGGATGGAGCCAAATACAGGACCATTCTGGAAGAAAACCTGTTGGAGTCTGCAAAAGACCTGAGAATGGGACGGAGATTTATCTTCCAACAGGACAATGATCCAAAACATGAAGCCAAATCTACAATGGAATGGTTCACAAATAGACGTATCCAGGTGTTAGAATGGCCAAGTCAAAGTCCAGACCTGAATCCAATCGAGAATCTGTGGAAAGAGCTGAAGACTGCTGTTCACAAACGCTCTCCATCCAACCTCACTGAGCTCGAGCTGTTTTGCAAGGAAGAATGGGCAAGAATTCCAGTCTCTCGATGTGCAAAACTGATAGAGACATACCCCAAGCGACTTGCAGCTGTAATTGCAGCAAAAGGTGGCGCCACAAAGTATTAGCGCAAGGGGGCCGAATAATATTGCACACCCCACTTTTCAGTTTTTTATTTGTTAAAAAAGTTTAAATTATCCAATAAATTTCGTTCCACTTCACGATTGTGTCCCACTTGTTGTTGATTCTTGCCAAAAAAAAATATTTTTTTATATCTTTATGTTTGAAGCTTGAAATGTGGCAAAATGTTGAAAGGTTCAAGGGGGCCGAATACTTTCGCAAGGCACTGTATGAGCCATATAAGATTTGACCAATCAGATGCCTTCATGCGCCTTAGTAAACGTCATGGCAACACTTCTGTCCCTGTTTTGGCGCAATGCTAACGCCATCGAAACAAATGCCCATATAAGGAAACTGGCTCCAGCTAGCTTAAGCTCAAACTGGCTCAAAAATTCAAATAACTTTATTCATCCGTGAGGAATTTCATTTACAGACAGAGCACCTGTGGGAGTACACAAAAAAACAAGATTTAAATATAGATACAGTAAAAGAGCAGAAATGCAATATAAAATACATAAAACAGGTCTCCCACCTCTATTCGCCTTTTTAACAGCTGATTTGGAGAACTGTTATTTTATATTGCATTTCAAGCACAACACACACACACACACGGGCCCAAACACTCTCTGACCACACACCTCTCTACCACAATTCAATTCAAGTCAATGTATTTTTGTATTGCCCTAAATCACATTAGTAGTTATCTTGGAGGGCTTTACAAAGTTGTCAGTTTTCCAACACAGATCAGAGAATCAAACCGTTCACACACACAGAAAATGCAACGATGAAGAACACATAGAGCCATTGGTCCATAAGGAGCAGAGACCAATGTCCATAAATGTTTACAAATGTCCTGGATCATCAACATTGTCCTTAGACCCTTGTGCATTGGCAAGAAACAATTCAAAGACGACTTGCTCTTTCTCCGCAGGGAAGAGCTGGCTCCTCCTGCTGCTGCTGTTCCGGGCCCTGATCGTGCTCCTGGCCGGGTTCTCGCTGTTCGGGGACGAGCAGGAGCGATTTGTGTGCAACACCATCCAGCCGGGATGTTCCAACCTCTGCTGGAACGTCTTCTGCCCCGTGTCTCTGCTGCGGCTGTGGCTCCTCCTCCTGCTGCTGCTGCTGATGCCTCATGTGCTGCTGGGGGTCTTCATCTGCCACCGCGTACTGCAAGGAGACCCCAGGCTCCAGAGACCAGACCCGAGGCCCCGGTCCAGATCAGCAGACCCTGTGACGACAGAGGCCCAAACCAAACTCGACCTCGGTGAGTGGATAACAGGGACTGTGAACAGAAACCTACACAGACATGGGGAGAACATGCAAACTCCATGCAGAAAGGCGTGGAGGGGGAATCGAACCCAGGACCCAAGCACAAGCTCTACCAGACACAGTGGCACAGTGGTTTGCACAATTCAATAACATTTTAGTTTGTTTGTATTACTCTGTATCACAACGGCAGTGTAGACTCCTCTGAGACAGATCAGAGAATCAAACCGTTCCAACGCAGCAAATGCAATAATAGCATTGGTCAGGACGGAGCGGGAGGACCATAAATGTTAAAATGTGCATAAATGTGTCAGATCACAGCTGTTCTTAGACTAGTGGAGAGCAAACCCCGGCCTGTGGGCCAGTTGCGGCCGGACCCTGTCAAGGTTCGGGTCTGGGCCTCTTGTTCTCAGTCATCAGAGAGAGGACAGATCATGAGGTTTGGACAAATCAACTGTTAATGTCAGAAAGAAGGAACTCACTGGAGGCATTTTCATGAAGGAAGGACACACTCACTTACTCTCTGCCTGTGTCATGTGTGGTTGCAGCGCAGAGATGGACCGAGTGCTCGACGCCGCGGTTCCACTGCGCGTACATGTCGGTGGTGATCCTGCGGATGGTGCTGGAGGCCGCCTTCGCCACGGGACAGTTCTTCCTCTTCGGTCTGTCGTTCCCGAAAAGCTTCCAGTGCTTTGAGGCTCCGTGCACGTCCGGGATCGAGTGCTACGTGTCGCGACCCACAGAGAAGTCGCTGATGCTGAACGCCATGCTAGCCGCGGCCGCGCTCTCCGTCGCTCTGAGCTTCCTGGACCTCGTGAGCTCGGCCAAAAGAATGGTGACCGTGGCCAGAAGCAGGAGGCAGAGTATGGGGAGCCACGGGGAGCGGAGCAGCGTCCTCACGACCAGCGAGGACAGCCTCATCGCCAAACGAGCTAGCCCCAATGCTACGCAGGCTAACAGTGAGGCGCGAACGGGCGAGGCGCAACCTCTCTACGGAGCTAAGAACCAGCTGAAACCGCCTTTGCACCCACGCAAGGACAGAGGGCCTCCCGTCACCCCCATTAGCAGGAGGCTAATTAGCACAGCAGCTAACTCGGGACAGCAGTCGGACAGCAGTGACTCCCAGGACCACAAGAGGGCGTGGGTGTGATGCAACGGGAGATTATTATTGGAGTAGTTAAACCGTATTTTACCAAAACCGCTGCAGTGCCGTGGGTGGCCTCTAGTCCATGTGGAGATGGGTATAAAGCAGCAATACTCTAACCAGATAATATGATATGTTCATGGGAAGATGCTGCTTTGAACGTATGCTAGCTGGAGCTCATCTAACATGATTGCGCAAAGGATGGTCTCTGATTGGTTAATTCTTATGGCTTGTATCTAGATTTATGAAGAAAATATCAATATATAAACACCAGGATCGTAGAAACTGTTGATTTTTTCGAAGCCCAGATTGGTGACTCTGACACAAACGGTTACTGAGCGAGAGGAGTTTATACTTTAACATGTAAGTCAACAGGAGTCAGAGCAAGTTCGAGCTAAACTTCAGCATGAGCTCTTCCCTATATTGGGCAACATTAAGCTAGCAGGTTAGCATTGTCCATCATGCCTTTGAGGAAAACTTCTTGTGCTTTATTATTTTTCTCAGATGTGAAACTTTCTATATAAATCTCTTTGTTTCTCACTGTGAATAAAAATATCAGTCTTAAAATTCTGATAATTTTATTTCAGACTATTTCTGTGAGTTCTGTACTAAGACTGAACCAGGTCTGAACCAAGTCTGAACCAGGTCTGAACCAGGTCTGAGCCAGGACTTGAGGAGGTTTGATAGTTAGAAAATAGAGTCTAAATCAAGGACACCATCATTGCCTCAGCTGACGACTGTTGATGGTTCACTCCAAATGTCCCCAACGGCCCGGTTCATGGTAAGTAAGCAATCTTTATTTATAAAGATCACAGTCGGAGGTCAGAGGTCAGAGCGGCGCTGACAGGACGACATGGCTGAGACAACAGCTGCTGTGACAAAGACATGTGACAAGAGCAAACACAGGGATGAAGTTATTCAAGATCACAGAGAAGGCCCTGTGCTCTGGGTTTAAGACCACAGAGAAGGCCCTGTGCTCTGGGTTTAAGACCACAGAGAAGGCCCTGTGCTCTGGGTTTAAGACCACAGAGAAGGCCCTGAGCTCTGGGTTTAAGACCACAGAGAAGGCCCTGTGCTCTGGGTTTAAGACCACAGAGAAGGCCCTGAGCTCTGGGTTTAAGACCACAGAGAAGGCCCTGAGCTCTGGGTTTAAGACCACAGAGAAGGCCCTGTGCTCTGGGTATAAGACCACAGAGAAGGCCCTGTGCTCTGGGTTTAAGACCACGGAGAAGGCCCTGTGCTCTGGGTTTAAGACCATGGAGAAGGCCCTGTGCTCTGGGTTTAAGACCACAGAGAAGGCCCTGTGCTCTGGGTTTAAGACCACAGAGAAGGCCCTGTGCTCTGGGTTTAAGACCACAGAGAAGGCCCTGTGCTCTGGGTTTAAGACCACAGAGAAGGCCCTGTGCTCTGGGTTTAAGACCACAGAGAAGGCCCTGTGCTCTGGGTTTAAGACCACAGAGAAGACAAGGCAAGTTTATTTGTATAGCACAATTCATACACAAGGCTACTCAAAGTGCTGAACAAAATAAGAAAGCATAAAAATCATAAATAATCACAGTACAGCAAAAAGAAAGCTAAAAATATGAAACCCGTTGGTGGTAAGCTCAGCTAAACAGTTTGTAAAACTGTTTTTAACCTGGTTTTTTAACATTGTCACAGAGGGTCCTGTCCCCTGGGTTTAAGACCACAGAGACGGCCCTGTCCCCTCCTGGGTCAGGGCCGTGTGCCGTGGTCAGAGGGCAGAATGTGTTTGTTTATTCTTAGAGCTTAAAGACACGCGCCCGTAGTGCACTCCACCCCCAACAGGGCAGCACCCTTGAGTGAATGATAATGATTATAATAAATTACCAAAAATAATGATTATAGCACCCTCAAGGATTTCCTGAGTGGTGTCCCTCCACCCACTCTGTCTGAAATAACTGAATGTTGATTTCTCTTCTTTTAATTTACTCATATTTCTTATAATCAGAGATGCAAAAGCCTCAGAAACTGAAATCAAAGCATGTACTAATACCTCCATCCATTCATTTTCTTCCACTTTACCCATTGCCAGATCAAGGGGGCTGCAGTCTGAGAACCCAAACTTCCATCTCCACACACACTGCCTCCTTCCAAAGGTACTCCCAGGGCAGCTGAGAGACACAGTCACTCTAATGTGTCCTAGGTCTTCCCTTGACGTGGAGAAGCAGCGGCTCTACTCCGAGCTCCTCCCTTGTGACTGAGATCCTCACTCTATCTCTAAGGGAGCTCCACTCTGCAGAGGAAGCTCATTTCGACCGCTTGTGTTCGCGATTTCATCCTTTTGGTCATTACCCAAAGCTCATGAGCAGAGGTGAGGGAGGGAACATGTGGAACTGAGAGCTCTGACTGCAGACGCTGCTCCCTCTTCACCACAACAATCCGATAAAGAGACCGCATCGCTGCACATTCTGAAGGAAATCGCTTAGAAGCATGGCTAACCACCTGCTTTTATGTTGTTTTCAAACCATATGTCAAGTAACAAGCGATTTTAATTTGTGAAGACCAGGAAGTGCAGACATGTGGCTTTAAAAGTGAGAAGTGAAGAATAAGAAGCAACGTGAAATACAGACACCAGGAAACACTGAAGTAAAATCACGGTGTTGTGTACTTTATTTTTTCTTATAACAGCAACAATATGGTCGTGTTCACTGTAGGCAGGGTCCTGTAATGGAGCTTTTGACCACCAGATAGCAGCACATGAGCATGTTTTAAATGACGGACTCAAGGAAAAACAATCATGTTTAATACTTAATACTTACAGTCTATCAACACAAACTGGACCTTAGTCACGCCATACACACACACACACACACACACACACACACACACACATATGCGCACACAAACACACGGGCATACAAATACACAAGCATAGACACACACCCATACACACACACACACACAAATAGACACACACAAATTCACGTACAAACGCACGCACACACACGCATACAAACATAGACACACACACACAAATAGACACACACATAAACACACAAATAGACACAAACACGCATACAAACGCATGCACACGTAGACACACACACAAACATAGACACACACACACACACACACACACACACACACAAACGCACGCACACATAGACACACACACACACACAGACACCCACAAAGTGTACAAAAAAAGACAGGTCTAAAAAATAATATACGTTTTTTTCTCAAAATATAGATCTTTTATCAGCGTCTCAAACACATCATATACAAAGTTCTGAATAAATCAACTTATAGTAAATTAAATGTGGTTAAATATGTTTCGTAGAGATGACCAGAATGAGCAACGGCCCCATCTAGTGGAAAGCATGTACAACTACATTGTACTTTTATAACTGTAGATCTAACATCTTTGTCCGAACAACAGTGAGATCCACAACGTTTGTCTTTGACTTAATCAATACATTTAGAACAATAACAATATCCCCCCTCCACTAAAGCAGGACTAAAGCAGGACTAAAGCAGGACTAAAGCAGGACTAAAGCAGGACTAAAGGAGGACTAAAGCAGGACTAAAGCAGGACTAAAGCAGGACTAAAGCAGGACTAAAGCAGGACTAAAGCAGGACTAAAGCAGGACTAAAGCAGGACTAAAGCAGGACTAAAGGAGGACTAAATCAGGACTAAAGCAGGACTAAAGGAGGACTAAAGGAGGACTAAATCAGGACTAAAGGAGGACTAAAGCAGGACTAAAGCAGGACTAAAGCAGGACTAAAGGAGGACTAAAGCAGGACTAAAGCAGGACTAAAGCAGGTCTAAAACAGGTCTAAAGCAGGTCTAAAGCAGGACTAAAGCAGGACTAAATCAGGACTAAAGCTGGTCTAAAGCAGGACTAAAATAGGTCTAAAGTAGGTATAAAGTAGGACTAAAGCAGGTCTAGACTAGGACTAAAGCAGATCTAAAGCAGGTATAAAAGAGATCTAAAGCAGGTCTAAATATTTTCATCTGGCGGTAAGTGTCACATGACGTCTCAGGATTCATCGGTGTAACGAATTTGAAACTAGAGCGTTCATACAGAAGGGGCGGGGGGTTGTTTTGGGGCGTACACAGACCTCAAGCTGAGCCCGGTCCTTTCCCTTCCAGCAGCTCTGCGTGCAGACGCTGCTCCACATATCCACAGTCTTCAGGGACCAGAGCCAGGCTCCAGTGCTGATGCCGGCCGACAAAGACATCAGGTACTTCAACATGAAGGCCGCGTACCGCAGCTGCGCACCGCCCTGAGCGCACGAGCAGGTGAGCGCCTCCTCCCATGCCCTTCTGTGCTGATGTTCATACATGTGACACGCCACCGTGACCGCGGCCGGGAGCGCGTACAGTGCCGTGAATACACCAATGCGGAGAATGAGCCGCTCCAGCGCCTGCGTCTCTGCGCCGCCGCGCTTCATCACGGTGCGAATCCTAAAGAGCGACACAAAGCCAGCGAGCACCAACATGCCGCCCACCAGCAGGTATAGCACCAGCGGCGCCAGCACGAAGCCGCGCAGATGATACACATTCTGATTCCCCACAGAACAAACACCGGCCACAGAATCACCGTCCACCGCACTGAGTGCCAGAACCGCGATGCACTTCACACTCGGCACGAGCCAGGCCACCAAGTGGAAGTACTCGGCACGCGCCGCCATCGCCTCGCTGCTCCACTTCAGAGCCGCTGCCAGGAACCAGGTGAGAGACAGGATCACCCACCAGAGGGCGCTGGCCATGCTGAAGAAGTAAGTGAGCAGAAAGACCAGCGTGCAGAGGGCGGGGCCTGTGGAGCCGTACCTGATGATGTCACCATCGCATGCCACGTGCTCGTGTCCCGCCGCCAGCCGCAGCAGGAATCCCAGCGACACGCAGAGATGACACGCCGCCATAAAGACAATGGGCCGCTCCGGGTACGGGACCCGCTCTCTGCGCATCAGAAACGTAACCACGGTGACCAGCGTACACACACAGCACAGCAGCGACCACAGGCCAAGCCACAGCACAGTGAAGGCGCGCTGCTGCAGGCTGAGGTATGGGCTGTGGCACGGCAGAGCGCAGTCAGGGGCGTGTCCTGTGTGAACGTGTTGCTGCGGTGAGCGCACCAGCGGCGTACGGCAGAAGCAGCCGGACTCACACGCCTCAGATCTGTGTTTCTTCTTCTTCTTGGCGGTGTGCGGCCTGAGTGCGCGGCCCGTGGGTTTGAGAGGCGGCGGCGCGGTGGTGCTGTGATTATGGTCCAGACACAGAGTGTGGCGCTCGCTCTGATCCGGCAGCAGCTCGCAGCGCATGCGCTCGGGCCACGGGAAACCATACTGACGCATGAGCGGCGCGCAGCCCGCACGTGCTCTCTCGCACACACTGCGACACGGCGGTAGCGGGTCGTCGTAGTCCTCCAGACAGATGGGAGTGTAGAGGCTGCACAGGAAGAAGCGCAGGTCGGCGGAGCAGCGGATCGACACCAGGGGCCAGAACTGGTGCGCCTCGAGCCCCGCCTCCTCCTGGGTGCTGTGCTTCAGCTGGTTGGGCATCCGGGTGAAATTATAACCAACAGTTTTGCAAAGCGGCAGCGTGATGCGCTCACACCGCGACTCTGCGCCGGCAGCGGCACTTCCAAGCAGCACAACAAGAGACCAGCAGAGGGCGCCATGCTGCATGGTCTGAGAGTGAGGAACCACAAGGTCCAAACAGGTCCAGAACCACGTCCAGAACAAGGTCCAAACAGAAATTCAAATTTCTTTAAAACGAGACCAGAACAAAAATAGGTCCAAAAATGGTTGGACGGCGGATCCAGGTCCAGAAGAAGTCCAGCATCTACAAAGTTCTGCGTTTCAAGTTAGGGATGAAAAACATGTTGAGTCCAAAAATCTTTAGTTTTTGATCCATTCAAACAAAAACACAAAAAAGTATTTCTAGAAAGAAAATGACTTGAACAAAGATCATTTCTCAAACAAGAATCTTTTGGCTTCAGAATGATAAAGTATGGAGAGTGCATCCAGTCAGAGTGAAGCTGTTCTCTGTGACTGAAGCTGGAGGAGGAGGCTTTTATAGTAACCCCCCATCCTGCCCCCACACCCCCCACCACCACCCCTCTCTCACCCCCCTCTCTCCCTACCCAGCCCCATTCACCACTGCCAAACCACTCAACAGCCAAAGTGATTATTACTATTTCTATTGTCCTAATTTTAAAATACCGTAGTTTCCAGACCCTAAGATACTTTTTCCTAGTTCTTTGATCCCTGCGGCTTATATAGTGATGCGGCTAATATATGTATTTTTTATTGGACTTATTATTTTGACTCCATGTAGTTTTAGTGGCTACAGGACACTGGTATATGGTCTACACATAGATGAAGGGGAATGAGTGATGGAAGCTAATAGTGAAGCTAATAACACCTAGTTATTCAATCATGCTGTGTCTCTCTGCTCCATTACAACATGAAAACCTGCGGCTTGTATTCAGGTGCAGCCTGTATGTGGACAATATTTACTTGATATTTACTCATTGTATCGTGAAAAACCAGTTCAGAGGAGCTGGTGTTTGTATATAACCAACGTAAACTAGATCCTTAGGAGACAAGAGGCAGTGATGCGTTTAAGAGCACAGGGAAAAAACAAACTTACGTATTAGAAATGTACTGTATGTGTTTGAACAGATATAGAGGACTCACTCATGTTGGTCGTAGGCCTCAGTGCTGCTGCAGCTGTCAAAAGCTGTGCATACACTGTAAAATACAGCTGCAGAGGACACTGAGGGGCAGGAGCAGGGAGCAGAGAGAAAAACTAGAGAGGGAGACCAGAAAGAGACCACAGAGAGAACCAGAGAGAGAGACCAGAGAGAAAGACTATATGAGAGACCAAAGAGAGACCACAGAGAGAGAGATCAGAGAGAGAGACCAGAGAGAGAGACCAGAGAGAAAGACTATAGAGAGAGACCAAAGAGAGACCACAAAGAGACCACAGAGAGAGAGATCAGAGAGAGAGACTAAAGAGAGAGACCAGAGAGACTAGAGAGAGAGAGACCAGATAGAGACGAGAGAGGCCAGAGAGAGCGAGGACAGAGAGAGACCAGCAAGAGACCAGAGAGAGAGCAGAGAGAGAGAGAGAGAGAGACCAGATAGAGAACAGAGAGAGATAGACTCAATCAATTCAATTCAATCAATTATTTTTTTTATTTGGGGAAGTCATATAAAACATACAGTAGAAAAAAAAAAAAAAACAATCCAAAAGGAAAAAGAAATAGACACAGCTCAAAGGGAGTAAGCCGAAGTATAATACTTGTGGGAGCTTACACAATAACTGTGGGAACACTTTCATATTTACATTGTTTTACAAACAGGTGTGTGTGTGTGTGTGTGTGTATGTATGCGTGTGTGTGTGTGTGTCTCTGTGTGTGTGTCTGATAGGGCATGAGTGCTGAGTGTATTTGTATGTGTATTTTTGTTAATGCCTGGGTATTAGTGTATGCTTCTACCCAGATGAGAAGGTATGTGTGTGTGTGCCTGGGTATATACATCTGTGGGTGTGTGCATATTTGGTAATTAATAGTTACTTAATGTAACTTAAGTTCTACGAATAGGTGCGTAGTCCCTTAGGACTTCGCTAGTGGGATATCACTCGTGACCCCCAGGTCACGCGCCAGAGAGATCAAAATAATTTGCTCCAATCACCAGCCACCTTCCTCTATAAATGCCCCTGCACAAGGCCGTACCCCCTCTTGAACTCTGCCAAGCCGGGCTGGCCTGATGGGCTCGTCGCTAAGGGACTACGCACCTATTCGTAGAACTTAAGTTACATTAAGTAACTATTAATTCTACGTCATGGTGCTACGTCCCTTAGGACTTCGCTAGTGGGACACAACGCGGAGGCCGTAGGAAAATGTACTCCCAGCAGGCCAGCGAAGGTGATTGGAGCTCCGCCCGAGCAAGACCCTCACAACGTGAGAGGACTCAGGGCAGAAGAAACAAGCGTGTTACGGGGCCACTCCTACCAAGGATACCCCCACGTAACACAAGCCGTAGGTCATCCGTAGTCACAGGACGCCTCTCCCAAGAGCTCCTGACGTGGACTACCAGACCGACCACACACACAAAATGTACCGCACCTGTAGGATGCCTCTCCCAAGAGCTCCTGCACCAGGGCGGAAAATAGACCGAAGGCCCCCCTCAGGGGAGGGACCCAACGGTCTAACTCAGTCCGCTGCACTCAGCACGGAATGGGCCACCGACCGGTCCGACACATCCGAAAGATAAGACCGGACGAAAGAGGAGGACGACGCCCAAGAAGCCGCACGGCAAACGTCCTCGACCGACGCCCCCCTGAGAAGGGCCGTAGAGGCCGCCATCCCACGCGTGGAATGCGACTTGAAACCCACCGGGGGGGCCAGACCCTGCGTCTGATACGCCCGCCGCACCGCCGTGGCGACCCAATGCGCCAGCCGCTGAGCCGACAGCGGGGCGCCCCTGTTCTTGGGGCCCAGACACACAAACAGCTGATCACCCGACCTGAATGACGACGTCATGGCCAGGTAATGCCTCAGCATTCTGATAGGACACAGAAGGTGCTGCCGCTCCTCCTCGGGGGAGGCATGCGGCGGCGGGTGGAAAGCCCTAATCCTGATGACCCTCGACCTAAAGGCCGACGTGATGACCTTGGGGAGAAAAGCCGGATTGGGCCACAATTCCACCATGCCGTCGTCCTCTCCAAAGGACAGGCACGACGCATGGACGGAGAGCGCACACAAATCGCCCGCCCTCTTCGCAGACGCCAACGCCAGTAAGAGGGCCGTCTTAAAGGCGATACACTCGGGACTCGCCTCCGCCGCCGGTTCAAAAGGCGGACCCGACAGCCCCCTAAGGACCACCCTGAGGTCCCAAACCGGAGGCGTTCTCTGGAGCGGGGGCCTCCTCCTGCGCGCCCCCCGCAGAAAACGTTTAACCAACGGGTGAGAACGGGCTGTGAACCCCCCGAATCCGTCGTGACCCGAAGTAATGGCTGCCGCGAACACCGCCAAGGTAGCGACAGCCCTCCCCTTGTCGAAGAGCTCCTGTAGGAATCCCAGAACCCCCTCCAGCGGGCAACACCTGGGATCCCAGGAACGGGAATCGCACCAGACACTGAATAGCCTCCACCTCGTGGCGTAGGCCCTCACGGTGGACGGCGCCCTCGCTCCCTGAATGGTCTCCACCACCGCAGGGGGAAGACCCAGATCTACGAGGCTCCGCCTCTCAACCTCCAAACCCAGAGCCTGCGGCCGATTATCGGACGTGAAAACAGGGCTCCTGCCCCCTGGACTAGAGCCCCCGGCTCGTCCGGGAGGGCCCAGGGCTCCATCACCGCCATGCCCCTCAGGAAGGGGAACCACCGGGCATGCGGACTGTCCGGAGCCACCAGGATCACCGATCTCCTCTCCTGTTCGATCCTCCGCAGCAGGACCGGCAGGAGACGCACCGGTGGAAAAGCGTACAACAGGCCGCCTGGCCATGGGTAATGAGCCAGAGCGTCCACGCCTAAAGGCGGCTCGTCCGCGGCCCTTAAGGCGAACCAGGACGGGCACTGTGCGTTCTCTGCACTGGCGAAAAGGTCGACCACTGGACGGCCGAACCTCCGCCAGATCTCCGCAGCTACCCGTGGGGCCAGGCCCCACTCGTCCTGGAGTGGGCCCCCCCTGGACATCCTGTCGGCTCCCACGTTCCGGACCCCCGGGACGTGGCGCGCCCTGAGAGACAGGAGGTGAAGCGCCGCCCACAGCAGCGTCACCGTCGCCATGCGATGGAGAGCGGGGGACCTGGTGCCCCCCTGCCTGTTCAGATAGGAGACCACTGTGGTGTAGTCTGAGCGCACCATCACGTGTCTCCCCTGCAGCTGAGGGGCAAAGTGCAGCAGTACTCTGTGCACTGCCTCCATCTCCAGCAGGTTGATGTGACGGGCTGAGTCCGACCAGCAGCCTCCTACAGAGCTCTGGCCGAGGACCCCGCCCCATCCTTCGAGCGACGCGTCCGTGAACACCTCGACGTGAGACACGGCGCAGGCCAGAGTCACTCCGTCCCGCAATAGACCCGGAGTGAGCCAGAACCTGATGTCCGATGCTGCCCCTTGGGGAACCCAGATCAGCCTCCCCCCGTCCCGGGAGGGGTGAAGCCTGAGGCGCGAGAACCACCTCTGAAAATTTCTCATGTGGAGCAGGCCTAGCCGCACCACAGCATGAGCCGCTGCCATCATTCCCAGCAGGGACCTGAGGCGCCGAGCGGGGACTCTGGGGCCCGCCAGAACCTCCCGGGCCAGACGGGTAATATTCATCCGTCTGTCCACGGACAATGCAGCACGGAATATCACAGAGTCTAGCTGCAGACCGAGATAAACCATGCGTTGGGCTGGCTGCAGCTTGCTCTTCTCCCTGTTCACCACAAAGCCCAGACGCTGTATGTGGGACAGGACCCAGTGCGTGTGGCTCAGGGCCACTTCTCTGGATGAGGCCAGTATTAACCAATCGTCTATATAGGTTAATATTCTTACCCCCGCACGTCTGATCGGCTCCAGAGCTGCTTCCACACATTTGGAAAAAGTCCGAGGCGCGAGTGCGTACCCGTAGGGTAGACGGCAGTACTCGTAATTCCTCTCTCCCACTGCGAAGCGCAGAAACCTCCTGTGTTCTGGCACTATGGGCACGTGGAAGTACGCATCTGTCAGGTCTATGGATGTCATCCAGTCTCCTTCCCTGACACACTCGAGGAGCTGCCTTGTGGACAGCATCCGAAACTGCCGTTTGGAAATGCACTCGTTTAACACGCGCAGATCCAGAATGGGACGCACCCCGCCTGATTTCTTTGGCACTAAGAAGTAAGGGGAGTACAGCCCCCTGGTGGCGTCCTGCGGGTCTACCTCCACTGCTGCGCCTCGACTCAGCAGAGAGGAGACCTCCGCTTGTAGTGCCTCTGTCGATCCCCGTACCTGAGAGCGTACTGCCCGTACGCCTCGGAATGGTGGTGGCTTTCGGAAAAATTGCAGCGCGTAACCTCTGCGCAGAGTTTTCTCCAGCCAAATATCTGTCAGTAGGCCCTGCTCTCTCCAGATGCTGTAGAAATCTGTGAGGGGCGGAACGGGAGTTGGAACACGAGACGTCACGGCCCCGCCCTCTCCTGGTGTTCCTAGCAGGGAGGGGGGGTGGCTGAAAGGGCCGGGGGGGCCCCTGCGTCACACCGTGAGCGCCGGGGGCGGTCACGTGTTCTGCAGGCCCGACGTCATAAGTACGGGACTGCTCACCACACGTGACTCGGCTGCTGTGCCCCCCCCTGGCTCTTGCCTCATGGAGGGGGGGGGCGAGCCCCTGGAGTGGGAAACCCCGTGTTAGCCTTGTAGCTCTGCTCACCACACGTGACACGGCTGCTGTGCCCCCCCTTGGCTCTTGCCTCATGGAGGGGGGGACGAGCCCCTGGAGTGGGAAACCCCGTGTTAGCCTTGTAGCTCAGAGATGCTAACACGCGTTCGGCTGGAGCACACACATTATCACTTACCAGATCCCTCCGCCTGCCCTCTCTCTGGGAGGGCAAAACATGAACCCGTGAATCGGAGCCCGTGGCCCGCATAGCACGCTGCACGCCCTTCTCTGGGGGCTGCAGGCCTAGCGGAGCCACGTTATATGCTCGAGAAGTAACACAATCAGAATTCAAATCATTTGACATGTTACATACCCCCAAATGAGACTCAGACAGCGAGTACTGATGAAATGCCGCACGGCTTTTATTGAAAGAATTCTTCCCACCCCGACCTCCTCTGCCATAGGGAGGTCGTCGGTGGGTGCGTTGGTCCCGCGAGCCTCCCGTGTGCCTGTCTGGGCCCGGGGGCCTCGTCGCTGGGGAACGATGAACCACGGAGCGTGGATATGGTCCGGGGCGCCTGCCGGGCGAGCGCTCCCTGCCTCTGTCTTGGCTCCGCGCTGGTGGGCGGGCCTCACGTCTCGCAGCTAGATGCTGGGCTAGGCTAGCAGAGTCCTTAGCTGCGGTGTCCAGCCTAGTTATCAGCGTCTGCATCTCCGGACCGAAGAGTGACGTTTGGGAGATGGGCAGGTCCAGCAGCTGCCTCTTCTCCGCCTCTCTGAGGTTGACCGGCCCCAGCCAGAGGTGTCTGGCCCCAACTTGTGCTGCTGCCATCGTGCGGCCGCCATCGACAGCTAGCGCCTGGCACATGCGCAGGATCGCTGCTGAAGTGGTCCTCGCCTGGGATAAGGTGTCTCCACTGAGCGCCTGGCCAGAAGAGAGAGACCTATCCAGGGCCCCGGTGATGAAGGCCATGTTGTTAGCCACCGCGACGACCTGAGCCGCATTGGCGTAACATCTATCGTGCATCGCCAAAGACATCCTATCCCGCTCGGAGGGAAGGAGAGGTCTGGTGCCAGGCCACACGGATGCGGAGGGATGTCCGGACGGATGTCCGGGACCCCGCCGGTCCAGGACCAGTCCTGCACGTTACAATACATGCCGTACCCCAAAGCGGGCCTCTTGGCCGCTAGGGGCTTTGGCCACTCACGTGTCGCGTAATGGACGATCGGGTCCATACGCGGGCACAACGTGGGCTGCGCTCTCCTCCTCCCTCGAGTGGTGGCGTAACCAGAGGTGAAGTCCTCCACCCTCTGGTTCGGTTGCGGTGGCAGGGGGGCATCCATGATGGCCGCCGCCGTGGAGTAGAGCCCAGGCATGTGGTCCAGCGGGAAGCGGTCCGGCTCCGGGTTGGACACCACCTCGTCCAGCGTGAGGAGAGAGTCGACCTCCGACACCTCTCCGTCCTCGCAGTCACCCCACTCCGCGGGCACGGGTGGAAGGTCGAGGGGGGCCCAGTCAATCACAGACTCCTCGTCCTGAGAGGAGTCCGGACGGGGCGCTGTAGCGGCGAAGAACGCGCGCCTGCGTTCACTCTCCTCCCTGGGGAGAGCGAGACACGAGGCGCAGGTGGCGCTCAACGCCGCATGGCCCGAACCCAGGCACACGAAGCAGCTGGAGTGCTGGTCCTTGCGCTGGAGCTTGACCCGACAAGTCGAGCAACGACGACGTCCGACGGCGGATGGCGAAGGGGAACTCGGACAAGCATCAGAAGACATCTTTCCTCAGGTAAATTGAAATGTAGATCTCAATCGGCGCCAGAGTGAAAGAGGGGGTACGGCCTTGTGCAGGGGCATTTATAGAGGAAGGTGGCTGGTGATTGGAGCAAATTATTTTGATCTCTCTGGCGCGTGACCTGGGGGTCACGAGTGATATCCCACTAGCGAAGTCCTAAGGGACGTAGCACCATGACGTAGAACCATGTGCATACCCAGAAGTGTGTTTGCATGTACTACACGTGTGTGTGTCCTCGAGCTTGAGCATCACACATGCGTCCACAGCCCTCAGTGTCTGAGCACACGCTTGTGCGATGAAGATCCAGTAGTATGAAACTGTAGACACGCACACACCTGACAGTGTGCGTGTCTACAGGATAAACATCACCTGCATCTGCTCACATTCGTAAACATGAGCATATACAGCCAATAAATAAGATAATTATTCAGTAAACAGAATACAGAAACTACAACAGGCTACAGTAAGAAGTCTACTGTATAATACAAGTACAATATGTGAGGAGCAGGTTTGGCTAGACTAGAGAGACTAGATTCATGACAGAGATTTATAGTCCTTCTTCAACTTCATATTTTTTTAGTGCATTTACCTTATACAGTCTTTTGAAACTCATCAATGAGGCCGTACATTTGAGACGATCCGCTAATTAATTCCATAAGTCCACTCCTCTTCGGGTAATGAACATGTTTCTTGAAGTTCATTTGGCCTCTTAGATTGTATTTAGAGTCCCTTTCAAGGAACAGGTTTTGAATATGGTTTGGAAGCAATTTGTTTGGAGCTTTGTACATGATCTGTAATGTTTTATATTCAACCAGATCTTCAAACTTCATTATCTTTAATTGCAGAAACAGCGGGTTTGTGTGCTCCCTAAAACCAGTATTGTGTCTGATTCTTAAAGCCTTTTTTTGCACGATGAAGATGTCTTTGAGATTATGTTTGTAAGTATTTCCCCATATTTCAGTGCAGTAACTAATAAAGGGCAGGACGAGTGTGCAGTAAACTGTGTGCGATGCTTTTGTATCCGTGAGATGTCAAGATTTCCTCATTATCGCAATAGATTTCGCTATCTTTTTTTAACACTATTAATTTGTGGTTTTCAGCAAAGCTTCTGGTCAAGAATGACTCCAAGGAAATAATGTTCATAGACACGTTCAATGATTTAATCTTTTATCATTAGTTTGGGTTCTGTGACATTTTTATTTTTATTTCCAATCACCATGAATTTGGTTTTCTTTAGATTAAGTGATAATTTATTGCATTCTTTAATTTTAGTCAGTTCCATGGAGACCTCAGCCAGTAGATGTTGCAGGTTTGTTCCAGTGCATAAGATGGTGGTATCATCTGCAAAAAGTACTAATTTTAACTTTTTAGAAATTACACACAAGTCATTAATATTCAATAAGAACAGAATTGGCCCGAGCACAGAGCCCTGAGGCACTCCACCCGTGATTGGCCTCAGAGTTGATTTGTACTCACCAATCTGTACAAACTGATGTCTGTTTGTCAGAGCGGACTTTAGCCACTGTACAGGGCAACCTCTTATTCCTTTTTTTCCCAATTTTTTTATCAAGATACTATGGTCTATCGTGTCGAATGCCTTTTTTAAGTCAATAAAAATAGCAAGAGAATATTTCTGTTTTTCTATGTTATCGCTGATCCAAGTCAATCATAGCCACGGTAGTGGAGCGGTTCTCTCTGAAGCCGTATTGGCTGTCATGGAGTGAATTATGTTTGTTGATATAGTTATTTAATCTGTCTTTAAACAATTTTTCTAGGATTTTTGATATTTGCGGCAACAATGAGATTGGCCTGTGGTTGTGAAAAGAATATTTGTCACCATTTTTGTATTTTGGTACCACCTTTGCAACCTTCATTTGTGTTGGGAATTTGGCAGCTTCAAAAGAGAGATTACAAATGTCTTTAATTGGTTCAATTATGCTGTGAATAACTTTTTTAATCAAGCTCATACTCAAGCCGTCAAAATCCTGGGAGTTTTTGCTCTTGAATTTTTCCACAACCTTCCGAATATCATTTTCATCAACTGGGCTGAGGAAGAAGGAGCTGTAATTTGGTTTTGTCACAGACGTCACTTTGCACAGTGCTGTTCGATGAGTCAATGGTTTTACCCATTCCAGGCCCTATTTCAACAAAGACATGTTAAAACCTTCAGCCACTTCTTGTGGATTAACCAGGGTCTCATTATTATGTGTATAATATTCTGCTAGTGCATTTGGGTTTGTTTCCGATGATTTCATTTAGCACTCTCCAGAAGTGTTTTTATACCTTTTGTACCTATTTTCAGAGTCTGTAGTTCAAGTTTTGATAATTCTTTTGTACAGTGAATTTTTCTTTTTGCATGCATTTACCAAACCCTTTGTCATCCAAGGTTTTAGATTTGTACATATAGTACTTAATTTAGACAAAGGAGAGTGTGAATCATAAAGTTGTGCAACATCTTCGTCTGTCTTTTCGGTGAGAGTTTCTCAGTTTTGTGACTTAAGGCTTTGCTTGAGAGCATTTATGGAGTCGTTGGTTAATATCCTCCGGTATTTTATTGTGTTTGGGTTGAACTGGAATGTGCTTTTCTCCTTTACATCGAGAACCATAAAAATTGGAAGGTGGTCTGTTATATCGTTGATTAATATGCCACTTTTTGTATTGTTATTAATAATATTTGTGAAAATGTTATTAGTGTAGCACTGTGCGAGGTTGCTCTTGTTGGCCTTGAGATTTTTGGGTACAACATCATGCTGTACATTGCATTGACAAAGTTCTCAATTTGGCTTTTATTTTTAATTTTAAATAAATCCAAATTGAAATCACCGCATAAAATAATGTCTATTTGTTTCTGGTTTTGAAAGGTTTTCTCAATAGATTCTATGAACTGTTCAATATCTGAATCAGGTGCCCTGTAGACGCAGCTTGTTTGCATATTTTTTGCATGACCCATGTCAATTTCCATTGACATATCAGTGATTAGTTCACTTTTCAGTCTTATATGAACAAGGAGAGCCACACCACCTCCATTTTTGTGCTTCCTGTTTACGTTGTAGACGTAGATAATACGTAGATAATATTTACAATTTCCCACAATAGAATTAAAAAGATTTCTATCAGGATCTGTCTCATAGGTTACATATGAATGCATTCACATTTGTTCCTTTTAACCTGTTCCCCTGCTTCATCGGTGCATTTTTTTCCTTTCTGTTTACAAACCTCAAGATAATGGGTGGCTTTGCCTGGCTGTTTCTCCGAGGCAGGAGGTGACATGCTTCAATGTCCCTGGAGTAAAGTGATCCCTTTATTGGCCAGAAAAGGGATCACCTGTTGCTCGACAGAGTCTAAGTCAGGCAGAGTCAGACTAGAGAGGGAGACCAGAGAGATAGAGACAGAGATAAGACCTATACACAAATACAATGTAGGCAGACGGTGAGAATGATTGCGTGGCTGCAGTATCAAACTCAAAGATTATCTCTGACATTTATTAGAGCAGATGATGCTCCCACAGCGCTCCAGATAAGATTACACACATTCCACTCTAAATGGAATCACTACATCTGCCAACATCTGCTGTGAACCGGGTCCCGTTCGACCAGGACGGGTCCCGGCTTCGTCCTGGGTTACATGCTCAAGCTGTGCCCTGGTTTGGTTTCCTTCAGTCCTGCTTCAGTCCCTCCATCTGCCACCAGCAACAAAAGCAGAGACAATGTGACCAGCCTCAATCCCACTGAACAAACACACACTGAGGACTCGGCATCCAACCCACCTTGCGACCTGTAGTCATTCTTTGACAAAATGCAGGTGTAATTTAGACACAATAAAACTGTTGCTCACACGTGGGTCAGGTAGAGAAGGTTATAAAACTACACAAGGCACACGAGTGACAATACTTTGCATAACGACAGCGTAACAAGGCGTGGAGCTGTGTCTGGGTGAGTGAAGCTCTCACTGTCAGAGTTTAAGCTGTTGCACGTGCTGCTTTTTTATTAGTAAAATTGTTCTTGTGAAAAAAATATGTTGAAAACTGTCCATATGGCTTTGCATGGATGAGAAACTTGCCGTAGTCCGTTATAATGTGATTCCCTCTGGTCTCTCTCTGATCTCTGCCTGGTCTCTCTCTCTGGTCTCTCACTGTGGTTTCTTTGTGGGCTCTGCTTGCTCTCTGGTCTCTCTCTGGTCTTTCTCTCAGGTCTCTCCTCAGTCACTCTCTGGCTCTTCTGGTCAGGAGACAAAAGTGCCCTTCACCAGACCATTCCTAAGTCTTCTCCTGCAGCTCAAAAAGGATTCTCAGACTCACAGCTTTGAGTCACGTGGAATATTTTAGCTTTAGCTGCAAAACTACCAAAGTTCCCATGGAGTCAAGAGTCGGCCCATTCTTTCTCCCAGAAAAAAACCTAAATCTTTCCTCAAAATGTCGTTTTTGTTCGGCCAAACTCACAGATCTGTAGCTGCTTTGTGCGTTCTGCCGTCGTGCCCTGTTCACACCATCCCCACGGTTTGAGAAATGTTTAACTTTTTCCACTTTCAGCCTCAGCCCCTGCTTCTCTTTTAGCCTTTTGTAGCATGTGGGCAATTCACCTCCGCTCCTGGACCCAATTACGATTCGCTTCAAATAAAAACATTTATATTTCTAGTAGTGCTGTCCAACGATTAAAATATTTAATCGCGATTAATCGCATGAATTTCATAGTTAACTCGCGATTAATCACAAATTAGTCACCCATTTGCGTGCTGTGTGCAATTGCTTTTTTATTGAAAACAATGTGTAGTGTTATATTACACACTAACATTTGATGCAAAATCATCAATAAATGGATGACAAAATAAATAATTGGTAACAAAAAGCCCCTTCAATGTGTGTGTGGAGTGTGTGTGTTTATGGGTGTGGGTGTGTGTGTGTATGTGTGGGTATAGACCATAGAAATGTATAGAAACATCATGGTGTCATTATGATGATGATAAACAATCTGTAAATATTTTGTAAATTTGTTCATGTAAATACTCTATGCTGTTTCTCTGTTTACCTTCGGTATATCTATGACTGTATACTGTTTGCTTGTATTGCCTTTTTTATTAACCCCTCCCCCCCATCTCCCACTTCATGTCCCTCCCCTCCTATGTGCCCTTCTGGGTTTCTTCTTTGGCCCCCTGTATCTCCAACTACATATTGTTTGTAATCTCTGTCTACAATGTATCTTAACTAGTCCTTTTCTTTGTGTCTATTTTTTTCTGTATATGTGTTTGTCTGCAATAAAAAGTAAAAAAAAAATTTTTTTTTTAAAAATAATAATTATTAAAAAAATTAATGGCGATAAAAAAAATGACGCCGTTAATATTGATTTGCGTTAACGCGTTAATAACGCGATATTTTGGACAGCACTAATTTCTAGCCAAAAAAAACTCCCCAGGACAATGCCAGTGGCTCTAGAGTGGTCAGTCACGCAGGGGGGCCTTGAGGGGGGCCTTGGGGGGGTTGGGGGGGTATAGGGGGCCTCATTAGTCCTGACTGTAGCACGGAGGAGGTGAGAGCAGAGAAAAGGACAGAGAAAGTGGGAGAGCAATTAGTAAAACCCCACGAGTTTGAAGAAAGGACGCAAAGAAAAGGAAGTGTAGCTTTTGTCCACGAAGTGGACGGAGCTGTTGGAGAGAGACTCCTCACAGAACTTCAGGTTTTTCTGCACACACACACACACACACACACACACACTGTTGTGTGTGTCCAAACTACATATGTGGGAATTCCATCCATTTTCTTCCCCTTAATCCATTTCTGGGTTGGGGGGTGGTAGTCAGAGCTGCACCCAGTACACATAGCACCAGCCCCTCACTGATCCTCCTGCAGGTGGTGAGTCCACAGGAGCCTTGATATTTCACTTGATATTTCCAAGGACACAAGGACATCAGTCATCAGTGGGAGTTATGAAGTATAGGTCTTGTGGTGGGCTCGAACTCACAACCTTCAGGCCCAAAGGCCAATGCTCAGGCCTGTCGCTCATGTGGGAATTGTGCTTTACAAATATATACAGCGCTTCTTTGGACACTCACACTTCACATGTTCATTCATTCACTCCATAGACAATGATGATAAACTACTTCTGTAGCCACAGCTGCCCTGGGGCACACTGACAGAAGGCAATGGGGGGAAGTGTCTTGCCTAGCCGTAGCCGCACCACTGTGGCATCTGGTGTTCCCGGAGGTTAAGTGTCTTGCCAAGGCCAGTGGGAGTTGGCGGAGAAAGCCCTGTGGTGGGCTTGAACCCAGGACCTTCAGGCTCAAAGGCCATTTCTCTACCAACTGAGCCACTGTCGCTCCCAAAGAGATGATAAGAGATGGCCATATCTGCTCCTGAGAGATATCTAAAAGCTGGGGTGCGTAACTTTCAGACCACAACACTGGAACTAGTTCCTGAATCACAAGTTTTCACATATTTTGACCTTTGTCACATGTTCGGATCAGCTTTTTCAGACAAATCAAAACGATAGGACAAGCCTCACTGAGCTCTCAGCCCATAGAGTCAAAGAGTGACTCTGATATGATAGGACTAACATATTTCTATAAAGATGAAGACAGCATGAATTGTTTATGAAAAAGGTTTAACTTAGAAGAAACTGACCAGAAAAATGAGGACTCCAAGTAAACCGTGGGATTTCTGCTTTAATCAGAGCCTTCCTCTTCTCACATGTTGTAATTCTCACTTTGTCATTTATGTTGATAACATTAAAAACACAGGTTTTTAATCTGTTTTCAAAGCTTCTAGAAGAAATGTGTTTGTGCGGCTCACCCCTGACTCCACCTCTGCTCACAGCCGTCTGACCCCTGTGCCCCGCTGGACTGAGATACAGGCTACAGAGGCCTCAGTCCAGACCAGAACCTCCCTCAGACCAGAACCTCCTTCAGACCAGAACCTCCCTCAGACCAGAACCTCCCTCAGACCAGAACCTCCCTCAGACGAGAACCTCCCTCAGACCAAACCTCCCTCAGACCAGAACCTCCCTCAGACCAGAACCTCCCTCAGACCAGAACCTCCCTCAGACCAGAACCTCCCTCAGACAGGAGTCCAGAGCCTCTCGCCATAAGAAGAGTTTGTTCCCTCAGCTGCAGTCTGATGCTTGAACACTTCACTCATCACTTCTGCCACATTTTTGTCACTTTATAATCTCACTCCTCTGAACACTTACTTACACACCGCACTGTTTAATGTCTTTTGTGTGTATTTAAGTATTGGAATATTATTAAGATGTGTATACATGCCTTTATATCTATTTTTTTATATTATAACTGAGAAAAGGGAATGAATACATTTGCGTTGGATTTCACACGATGTCTTAAAACGGCTCTGTTTTAGACGATAAATACTTTTTCAGATACAGTACGTAACACTATAACATTAAACAACAACATCGACCATCGACGTCCAGCCTCGGGGGTCCCATCCATGGGGTGTCCTGGTACCAGGTGCACTGGACACTCAGCGTCACCTGGTGGTGAGTTGGATCCACTGCAGGGTAAAGAAGCCTGGAGGTCATAAACGTATGTGAGGGAGAGAGAGAGAGAAAGAGAGAGAGGGAGAGAGAGAGGGAGAGACAGAGAGAGAGAGAGAGAGAAAGAGACAGAGGAAAATCTTCAAAAATAAATTCAAATCAAGAGACCATTGCAGAAATTCAACTGATGTTTTGCTTTTATCTTTAGTCCCTTCTTTCTTTTCCACTTATTCACGGTGCAGTCCCCTACTTTTTATACCATTTTTAATTGCATGTATCTTTAGTTCTTATTGTAGCTAGAAATACTCTGATCTGTTCCAACAGGAAGCACCGAAGTTTAACATTTACAAACTAGATTAAACTTGAGTCGAGATGAATCCTGTTCTGATCTAACAATGGTCTTTAGAGGGACTGGGACTGAGAGGATCTAATTTAGTCCTAGTTTAGTTGTGTGTGGATGTGTGTTAATCTAATGTATCTAAATGAAACCCACGAGTTGAAGTGTAGAATGAATATGCAGCAGTGTCAGATTGCTGTGATGTAATGTGAGGATGTGACCAGCAGAGGGAAACACAGAGTTGATCTACTGTCGCTCTAATAAAGATCTAATTATTACAGCAAAACACGGAGATCACGTGTAAAATTTATTATAATACTGTATAAACCTAAATTTCTACTTAGAATATAATGTAATGGCTCAAAATGTGTTTTCATTCAAGATCATTTGTTATATTCTAAATCATTTGGCAAGCTACCTGAAAGGGGCTGGCGAGCTACTGGTAGCTCCTGAGACACAGGTTAGAGACTCCTGATTTATAATCTCAGAGACTGTATTTGAATTATCATGATTTTCTTCCCGTGGACCCACCCCCTGCAGAGGATCAGAGGGACTGGTGCTATGGGCATTGGGTGGCAGCTCTCATTGTCCCCCCCCCCGACCCAGAAATTGACTAATAAAGGGGTACAAAAAATTCTGTTCGCTATTTTGACCAAAGATATGGCTTATATCATTATCTGTATTAGTAGGAATTATGACCTGGGTGTAATGTTTAGAATAGAATAATTTGGTGGTTTTCTTAGTAAAATTAGCATTAAATGATGTATAACATGCCATAGTAACCCATTGTAACCTCTTACTATCGAGGTATGGTTTTAAGCCCATGTGTGATTTTATTGTTTTTGTTTGTAATATTTCTCGTGATATTAATGTTTGGTTTTAACGCCCTGTGGGACTTTAATTATATGTTTTCATGTTTATGTAGATTTTAATGTTTAGGATTTATGCCTGATGTGAGGCGCTTTGTGTTGCCTTGTGCAGAAAAGGTGCTCTACAAATAAAAGTTTATTTATTGATTGAACAATTTGCAAACCAGTATTAATAGCGGTATTAAGCCCCCTTAATACTGGTGTACCCCTGTTTGAGAAACATTGTTTTAGAACGTGCTCATAATCTGTTCACGGAGTCTGAGGTGTTAAATGTGAAGATCTTGAAGAATGTAGAAGTTGTAGTAATAGTTTATTTCTTCGGTCATTTTGAACATCAGATTTTAGGTCACATGTTTTCAAAGATTGTATACAAATTTTAATTAGAAAGAAAATTAGTCATGTATATTAAGAATTGAAGTGCAAGATAGTGCTTGACTGAAAGGGGTTTAGGCTGAAGTTAAAACGCATTGCTTATTCCCTTTAACAACTTTATACAGTTTCTGATTCCAGCAATAATTATGATGATAACAATAATAAAAACAATCACAATAATATTAATAGTAATAATTAATCAGTTTCATACAGTGCTTTTCAGGACACTCGAAGACACTACTACTGTAGCCACTGCTGCCCTGGGACACACTCACAGAAGCGAGGCAACCAGTCTGTGCCATCGGCCCCTCTGACCATCACCAACCACACGCACACGCACACACGCACATACACACACACACACACACATACACACGCACACAAACACCACTAATAATTGTTTACTTATAATAATAATGCATCGGTGTTATAGCGCTTTTTGGACACTCAAAGACGCCTCACAGGTGATAAACTACTGTAGCCGCCCTGCTGTGGCACCTGGTGTTCCCAGAGGGATAGTGTCTTGCCAAGGACCCAACGACACCAGACATCAGAGGGAGTCTATGGAGAAATTCCTGTGGTGAGCTCGAACCCACGACCTTCAGGCTCAAAGGCCAATGCTCTACCAACTGAGCCTTTCGTCTTTATACTAAAGAAAGTAGCTTTGATAGTTCTAGAGCTGATAAATTGTAAAGGTGGACTGTTCCATAGATCAACTCCTGATGACCTGGACGTGGAATCGAACCCAGAGAATTCTTGCCGTACCAACTGCACCACAACTACCACAACTGTCACCAACGAGGCTAATGTGAATTCACGTATGCTTCCCGTTATCTTATTGAAAGAATGACAAAGTAAAAGCACAGTAAAACAAACACAATTCTCCTCGTTCGTCTTTCTGAATTCCGAGTTCCCCCGTGAACGCCTCTCGTGAACGCGCGTGAGCCCAGGGCAGATGCGCGTGCACGTGCAGGATCTCTTGCAGAACTGCTCCACACAAACAGGTGTCCGCTTCCAACACGTCCACAGTCCGCCCGGGATCCGTACGCCGAACCAAACCCGAAGGGAAAGCCTCCACATGCGGCCAGCGCCCAGGACGTGACCCCCCCCCGCGCCCCCGGTGGTGCTCCCGATGTTCGCCCGTGGATCCGTACTCCCGGTGGTTTGGAGCCATGAAAGTCACCGTGTGCTTCGGACGCACTCGGGTCGTGGTGCCGTGCGGGGAAGGGGAGCTCAAAGTGCGGGCTCTGATCCAACAAGCGGCCGTGCGTTACAGGAAAGCCATCTCCAAGGTACGGAACACCGCGGAATCGAACCCCCAGACCGCCGCGTCTCACACGGGACTCTTCTGGCACGACTGTCTGCGCATCGGGCATGGCGCAAAAGTAGCGGACAAGTCGTTAAATGTGCAGATTTTACGCGCAAAAATAAGCTCAGTTTGCGTGTCTCCTGCAGCACAGCCTGTCTTTGCGGCACATTTCCACATCAAAGACATTCTAATACAAAAAATAAATCCTGGCATTTCGTCCAGCCGCAAGCTTACTCCTACTTTATCCCTATCTGCACGCAAAATACCAGTACCTATCTACACTTTCGACCTGATTATGACTCTTAAATGCAAACTGAGTATAGAAATGTCAACGAAATAATAATGTTTACCTCATCCCAGGACGAAACGCCAAGATTTGTCCACTTCGCAAGCAACTGGTGTGTTCTTTGTAGCATGTCCTCACGTTAGCTCTGGTTCAATACATGTCCTGCTAGCTTGTTAAACTCTCATTCCACCCTTTTCCACACATAAACCACATGTAAACAACACGTGTCTGGGTATAATTCAGCACTTTTGACACTTGGAAGGCACTGGTGTGATGATTCTAGCCTGATTACGTGTTAGCTTTGCTACATTGTTGCTAAGTTTTGACCAAAACACGCCCTCTTTACGCACAATACTTTATTATTATTCACTTTTACGTTGTTGTAGTGGTATTTAACGTGCAATGCTAGTTTCCAAGGTGTAGTTTGTGCCAGTTTAAGCATGGTTTTAGTTGTGATTTTGGCAGCTGTAACTTTCAAGAATGTTGTGGTAGCTAGCATCTGGTGTTAGCATTAGCAGAGTTTCGTACTATACTTTTGAACTTTTATGCATTCTCAACTCTTGTGCTGTCCTCGGGTCAAATTTAACCACCACAGTGATTCAAAAACACCCGAAATATAACATTTATGAGCTGAATTTTGATGATGTTTCCTTTCTTGACCGAACCTGAGGCATTTTTACCCTTTTAGACCCTAGTTTGGGTATTATTCTTCTACTTTAAATCATTATTTTATGCATCATACAGGGTTCTTTCTGTATTTGGATATATTTAACCCAAAATGCAATGGTTTTTCTGCACTTTTCAAAGCTTGTGTCTCTGGCTGCTTTGTGTGCCCTCCTCATTCATCTTCTTGGCGACATCAAATTGTGTTAAAATTAGTGGCTTCTTTGTGCACACCCAGTGGACACATCTGTCCCTTGGTATCATTAAAGCTGGGGTGTGTAACTTTCAAACCACAACACGTCACTGGTTTCTGGCTCTAAAGCAGTTTGGCTCCAAAAGTTTGTGTGATTCTTTTGGCTTCTGTCACATCTTTGAATCAGCTTTGTCAGAAAAGTGAATCAGAAAGGACCAGCCTCAGTCACAGCCAATCCGCTCTCAGCCCAAATAGTCAATAAATGACTCTCTCAAGAAGCAGGAAGTGGTCTGGGTTGTTCACATCTTACTGACCCTTTCTGTAGGACTAGTTACATGTATTTATTAGTATTTATGACTAGGGTAGTCCACAAAGAACAGTGTTTTTGGAGAAGGCACAACACCTCTGTACAATACTTTTATAATATAATGTTGTCCACGTCCCTGTTTTGCATGTGTTGTAATTTCCTTCATCCGTGTTCTATGTTTACATATGACAGTGTCTTTCAATCTAAAGGTCATCCATCTAAAAGTTTTTTGGGCGGAATTCAAACATTTATTTGGAAGTCAAATACGGACCTTTTTTCATGAAACAGTTTCTTTGACGTTTGTTAAAATCGACTGAATAATATTTAGTTTTATTCGGCGTTCTAATAATTGCAGACTTGAATACTTTATCATGAGACTGAAGAAAGGATAAACTTTATTAATCTCACAATGGAGAAATGTACATTTCACATTTGGCATAGTTAGAATCACTCGGGTGCAAAACTACAGGAGGCGTGCAAACATGTTATAAAGGTTAAAAATATAGTCTCTTTTGTGTAAGATTTGCAGCCGACTGTGGATTTTTACTATAAAGAGAGAGAAACATCAGCTGCTGCCTAAAATCACCTGAAATTGAAGTCTTGTGAGGCCTGTTTTGATCTGATCCCTGATGTTTCTGGGACACTTCCCCTTTTGTCGTGGACCAGTTGCTGGAGAGGGCCTGGTTTTGGCAACAGCTGTAGTTGAATACCGTATCTTTGGGGTACCACAAGGTGGCGCTGTGTAGAGCTCCGAACAGCTAAAAGAGGATTGCGTGGTATCCAGAAAACAGGGGCTTTGTCGGAGTAGAAGTCTGTCTCACATTTTCATGACGACTGTTCCAGAATTTAGCTGCATAAATCTGAAACGCTCATGTTAAGTCCTGACTCTGGGACCAGCTGGAGGCCAGTCCCTGTGCTCCTCCTCCCCGCAGTCCCAGCAGGAGGCCAGTCCCTGTGCTCCTCCTCCCCGCAGTCCCAGCAGGAGGCCAGTCCCTGTGCTCCTCCTCCCCGCAGTCCCAGCAGGAGGCCAGTCCCTGTGCTCCTCCTCCCCGCAGTCCCAGCAGGAGGCCAGTCCCTGTGCTCCTCCTCCCCGCAGTCCCAGCAGGAGGCCAGTCCCTGTGCTCCTCCTCCCCGCAGTCCCAGCAGGAGGCCAGTCCCTGTGCTCCTCCTCCCCGGAGTCCCAGCAGGAGGCCAGTCCCTGTGCTCCTCCTCCCCGGAGTCCCAGCAGGAGGCCAGTCCCTGTGCTCCTCCTCCCCGGAGTCCCAGCAGGCGGCCAGTCCCTGTGCTCCTCCTCCCTAGAGTCAGAGTTTGTTCATATGGCCTGAACACTCAGCTGATTGTTGGTTGAGTGTTCTTTACCCCAAAAGTCAAATAGTGACTCACAGGGCTCTTGCCTACAGAGGAAAACAAGATGAAGACAGCAGGTTGTGGTCTGCTTTGTTCACAATACTTTACTTTTACAAGACTCTTTCTTTAGGACAAACTACATTTACGAGACAGAAAAGTTGGGGACCCCAGGTTTAAGTGTGTTTGTAATCGTTGTCTTTGTCAGATGTGTGAACATGTCCAGTCACGAAGCTCATTTTCAACTTTGTCCGAAAAGAAAAATAAACATCTCGGAAGAAAACAACATGATTTTTGTGTAAATAGAATAAAGAAGTGTCTGTCGCAGCAGCCGCTCGGGTCTCCATCAGCGGCTCCGTCCCAGGCTTCAGTTACAGGGCGTGTGCGGCTAAACTTAGACTATTATTTGTTGCACTCACAGTTGTTCCTCAGTTTGGTTCTGCCAACTTTGGTGATGGATGATGTCACGGTCAACCAAGATTTTCATTAGTCAACGAGGAACAGGCCCCTTCATTAAAAACTAAATATATTATTTTCAAAACAATAAAATAATTGGGCGATAACTGATTTATTACTAACTCATTGACTGATTTATTACAAACTTCCCTCTATTCGACTGGGGATTACAGGAGAACAGAACTAGATAGAAACCAACATCTTTTTTGCTGATGAAAGTAAACAGTCCCATCTTTCAGAATCTGGTTTCATATTTCACATAGTCAAAGCACACAATACGCTGTGGCTCTTGAAAGTCTGTGAAATCACCACAGGGGAAGACATGTTACTAATTTTTTGTCTTAATGAATTGCCTTCTGGGATCAATAAAGTTTTCTGAATCTGAATCTAAGGCAAGCTGGAGTCTCACCCACGAATGAATTCCTCTGATTGGTCAATCCTTATACGACTCATATCTGGATTTACAAGGACTGCATCAAAATATAAACACCAGGATTACAGAGAGCGGTAAACCATAGATTATTTAAGCCTAAAATGGCAAGTGTGATTCAAGCGGTGACTGAGCTAGAGGCGTTTACTTTTCAATGTAAATCAAAAGGAGCCAATATCAATCTCTGAGAGTTTTCAGGTCTGTCCTTCGTCGCTGCTGTTACGTCTTTTCCTGCGGTGAATCCAAAATGCTTCTAAAGATTTAACTTAAATCTGCAGGAGTTTGAATGAATGAATGAATGAATCCTTTATTATGGACTCAGGGTTCAACAAAGACAGAACATACTAGTCAAAAAGGCCAAAGACAGCTATACAAGTGCGTCCACCTCCTCGACTCATAACTGACTGCACTGCAACGGGCAGCAACCAGTGACGCACAACTATTTAATTGCCAGACAGGTTTAATCAACCCATGGTGCTGTTGACAGGATGTGGATCTGTCTGGGATCGTGTCCAGCAGAAGACATTGGATTGATGTTACAAAGAGACATGACCAGAGATTTGTGTGCATGATGTGATATTATACCATGAAGGAATCGCAGACGGTCCAATCAGCAGCTGTCACGGTGCCAGTAGCTTCGGCCTCCAGATCCAAACCAAAACATCAAGTGGAAATTCACAGGCGTAATGATGAGCTCAGCTTTAACTACGGTTGCTTAAAAAGTGTTATAACAGATCCATACTGTTTTCTTTTCTTTTTGTTGTTTGTTGATTGCCGCGCAAAGGATCATGGGTGATGTAGTTTGCAATGCCTTGTTCTCTTGGAGCCTTCTTTTTTAGTATTTTAAAGATTTCAATGTCAACAAAATCAAGGACATTTAAAATACCACAATGTCTCATTACTATCAACATTGTTTCATCTCTAATCAGGCTGCAGACCTTTTGAAAGAAAAAGTCTAAAACAATCTGAAATGTAGACCGTTTTACTGATAGTTTTGATGAATTATTACTTATTGTGTTTTAGTTTAGTTGCTTTGCGTAAAATACTTGTTTTTTTATTGAGGTACAACATGCCATGGCATCATACAGGTCTGATGGGATGAAGTTAAAACCAATATCGTTTTCTCTCTACTTTAAGCTCAATACTATGGTACTGAGCCCCAGGGGGCGCTGAGTGGAGATGTAGAGACGGAGCCACGGTTCTGTTGGGTCATAGTTTGATGTTTTATCCGCCCTGACACTGCTGGGATCATTTCCAGTTCAGCGGTCTAATCTGGGGTCAGTTTGTCTCTAAATCTGAGCGGG